AAGAAACCAAAAATCGATGTTTAGAGAGAAGGGTTTTAGATGTGGAATCAGATTCAGAGATGAATGCGAATGTGAAAAGCAGAGTGGAGTATTTATAGACGAGCAAGTGCGATACACTGTGTTGGCATGAGAGATGCGCGCTTTTAAAGTCAGTATATTTTATTTTATTTTTTCATAGTATTTTTATTTATTTTGGAAGTTATCTACATGTAGTAAGAAATATAGTTGTTGGTCAATTGTATTTTTCAAGTAAGAAAATTAAATAATTAAACACTGTCAAGACTCAAGAGCAGAAGAATATTCTAAGAAAACGAATCTTTTCATTAACTTCATACCATTTCATTGGGTATTACTAAAATTTGTTACTTACTTTGTACTGTAGTTTGTATATATAATTGTATTGGTTGCGTTAGAATTCATAAATTACAAAGTAAGTACGAATGTGAAATGATTAAGGATATTACAAATTTGAGTTTTAGTGGTCAAAGATCTAATGGATCTTGGTTTCTTAATTATTAAAGAAAATCAAGGAATTACCTAATAAGGTTTTGTATGAATCTTAACTTTGATAATATAAAAGAATGACAGCAGGAAAAATACATCAATTGTTTTTTACCTAATAAAGAAAAAAATAACAGGATCGTGTGAGCTCGTGCATGCATTTTGTCTATGCACGAAGATGCACAAATCTCTGACTCTAACTTTCACATATGATCAAGTTGACTTTCAAAAAATTAAAAATTTAGTTTAAGTACTTGATTTGCTATGTACAAAAATAACTAGGTTTTTCTATCTACTGCTACCCAATAAAGCATTTATATATATAATTTATGTTCTCTCAACTCTAAGAGAATATGTTGAAGAAAAAAAAAATGGTAATCAATACTAAATAAATTGTACTCTTTTTTTTTTTTTTTGCTTTGCTATAGGTTCAATCATTTTTTCGTCGTCCTTGCTTTAACAACAAGTTTTAAAGGATATATGCACTAAATAGCCAAATTTTAGAAATTTATTTACAAAAATGATGCAATGGTAAAGTATAAGATTAGTATTTTCGCATGTGGTGGCCGAATAACATGTTATTTTATCTATTGACACTATATTATAACATGTTATGTAAACTTTTTGTTTTGTTATTTTAAAAAGTAAAACGGTACATTTATATAATTGAAATTTATATCAATGATCTTCGACTTCGTCAATGTGGCATACGAAATGAACAATGAGCACATTAAGGTTTCTATTCTTACGACTATTAATGGATTATTCGAATCACTGAGTACGTCATTATAATATGTACTCAAGTCAACCAAGTTTGTGATCTCTTGTTGAAAAAGAGTTTGTGATCTGTATCGCTTCGTGGGTTCTTGTCCGTCTGTTCGAATATTCGATTCAATTTTTTATTCATTTTCTTCGCAGTATCACATTTAAAAATACATTTAAATACGTTGCAAATTTTTAGGACCAAAAATGTCGTTTCAAAATATCGAAATATTAGATTTTGGCCTGTAATAAAGTGTTCTGTAATCACTAAACTCTATACGCTTATGAATTTAAAACTAGTATTAGAAAAATGGCTCTTGGGTAGACTGATTCGTTTAAACATTTTTATCATTGACCCTTTTGTATTTCTTTATAGGTTTAACAAATCATGCCGTCTTCTTAATTTGAATTTTAGCAATAATGCTGAATTGATTATAGATCGCTTTATGAAGTAAACAAATTAACAATGTTCAATTATTGGATAAATATATTGTGGATGATACCTACACTAATATAAACTTGTGCATTAGTGGTTAGGTGTGGGGTCAGTGTCGGTTATAATTCGGTTGACGTATTAGATGATAGTTAACATTATTTATCAGAAACATTCGGGGAGGGTGACGACAATAGTGTTTAATTTATATTTCTCTGTTTAAAATTTTTAATCAGATAAAACTTGCATGTGGTGGGATGATTCATGAAAGCAAATACGATTAGGCCATGGTCATGGTGTGACTATATATTACAAGTTAAACTTTATATGTTGCGATCACATTTGACTTTAGATCATAAAGATTATATTATCTTCTTCTTTTTTCAAATCTATGCTCTTTTCGTTTCATTTGTTCACTCTCTGTCTCTGCAACAGAGTTTTAGTTTATCTTTTAACTAGATTTAGCTTAAGAAGTAAAGTAGGCCAATTAAGTTACTGGTTACCGCAGTAATACGTTCTGAGTTTGTAATTCAATTCGGTTTACAATCCAGAAGTCCGAACCGGAAAATTGAATTAAACCGAATCAGAGGGAACACAAATCTGATTCAGGCTGAGATCAGAGACTTCTCTCTTCTGCGTTATCTTTTGCAGTCCATGATACAATAATACAAGCTACTTGGTTTCAGGAGAGAAGACACATCAGATACAGAGATCTAGAACGAACCATATGAAAAATAATGGGATAAGAAACAGAGCAAAGGTTTGAGATTAACCAGATTAATGTTTAGTTAAAATTTTAATCAGAATCATATCTCCAAAAGAAGCAGCAACATTTGAAGCCTATGAGCAACTCAATACATTGTTAAGAGTTAAGCACAGCTTGGTCCAGAAGATTGGAAATCCTCAAGCAAGCCAAACAAAAACTGGACAGCTTCGAATGTATCTCATAGCAAGTAACCAAATCTCGCATCGATTATGGGTCAGACATGGAACTTTTCTCTGATTCCTGCACCAATATTAAGAGATTCAAACATTTGATTCACAAAACCTAAAAGGCATATTTCTTCAGCGTAGGGACTTGTCTTACTTGTCTGCTCAACATTTCTCAGGCAACCAATTCAGATTCAGCTTTTTTGGCAGGAACATGATTTTGGAAAAGTGTTTGGTAATCCATGTTTCTAGCGGTTTCAAAGAAATGAGCCACGGCTTCCTCTGGTGTCCCTACCAAGACACCGTGTCCTAGATTGAGAATATGCCCTTTTGGTCCAGCACACTTCACAACTCTGACACAAAACATACATTTCTTTCAGTTTCTTGAATTGAGTTATAAGCATTACTCTATGTTCAGCTGAACAAAGTAACGACCTACCTCTCAATTTCTTCGGTTAAAGCAGGAAGCGGAGAGAATAGGTAGGCTGGATCAACATTTCCCTGCACACTAACCTCGCTTCCCAATCGCCTCCTTCCATCAGCCATATCTACAGTCCAGTCAAGTCCAATAACATCAGCTCCAGTTCCTTTCATTCGCTCAAGAAGGCCACCATTTCCATTGATGTAGAAAACTATCGGCGTATCTGGACATCTTTTCTTTACAGCATGAATGATCTGGCGAGCCCAAATGACAAATAAAAAACCCGTTAAGCGCCAAAAGATAATATTTCAAGTCCTCAAGTTGAAACCACAATATGGTACCTCTTCGATGTAGGGCTTGGACCAGCGCTCCCACATCTCAGGAGTCAGTTGGCCACCCCATGAATCGAATATTTGTATGCAGTGAGCTCCATGCTCAACTTGGTAAACAACATACTCGGTAATGGCCTTGGTTAAATGAGATAATAGAGCTCTCAATACATTTGGTGCAGTGTGGCACATATTCTTTATGACTGTATATGTCCGAGTTGTTCCCCCTTCAACAATATATGTTGCAATTGTCCAAGGAGCTCCAACGAAACCCAATACCGCAGCATGTTCCCCAACCTTTCAAAACAAGAATCCAGATTCACAAACTGGAAGGCATTTGGTTAAGTCTAGGGGAAAGCTGAGAAGAAGAGTAAAACCACCTCTCGTCTCAAAATCTTGAGAGAATCTCCAACAAACTGTAGTTTCTCGAAATCAATGGCATGCAATCTCTTTAAATCTTCTTCAGTTCGGATGGGAGATTGGATCACAGGGCCTTTCACCTCTTCAATGTCAAAAGGGACACCGAATGCAGGTAAAGGCGTGAGGATATCAGAGAAAATGATGACACCGTCTGGTCTGAACGCTTGCCAAGGCTGCAAAGAGATTTCCACTATTAGATCAGTGTTCTCTGACCTCTCTCTGAAGGACGGGTGTTTCTTGGCGAGCTTTTGGTAAACAGCCATATACCTTCCTGCTTGCCTCATCATCCAAGCTGGAGGACGACTCACGGATTGCCCTTTCGCAGCCTTAACCAATAGTGGATCTGATTTAACATTTTGAACAAAATGGTGTATATGAGAAAGCTTCTTTAGACTTACAAAAGGATAAGGCTACAGATTCATTGATCCTTTATGATCAACTATTAGCTAAACTTCAAGATATGTGGCCTAAAACTGGAAATTTCATTTCTATTCGACATGCCCAAAAAAGAACGAAACACCATTTCAAGGGCAACATTCATGTTCAACATCTAAACTCAATCGCAACTCAAATTTGACATTCTAAGGAGTAGCTAGTAGCCCGAACCGACTAAAATCATTTCAAAATCGAAAAGCATAAATCAACTTTTTTTGCAGGAGATACGTACCGGAAGAGGAGGAGGAGCAAGCCACTACGAACTTCCGAGCAGCAATATTGTGTCTTTTTGGGTAACAAACCAATCCCACATTGATGGGATTCGATCGAAACCCTATCGGCAATGACAATCCCGAGGAGTAACATCTCGATGAGCTACAAGCACTGTGTACAACAGAATTTAGCAAAAGCAAAGTACTAAATTGGCACAATAGAAATCGAATGAACAAAAATTGAAACTTTATCGGACCTGGTTGGCGATGATAAGCTCATTTTCAATCAGAGAAGAACCTAAGAGTTTAAAGACCAGTGCTATCTGATTTTGCCCGCTTCTTGGTCCGGTCTGGTCTGGTATCTCCTTATCACCGAGGGAAGAAGACGAGAGAGATGCGATTCAAGGTTTGACCTTATTAGGTCAATCACTTCGACGGCTGTAATGTAGCCACGTATGATATATCTGGATAATAGTAGGACCCACCTTCCGGGATTTCTTTGTTTCTTGATGTTTTGCGCAGAATTAACATAACTCAGAAACCGGTTCACTGTGAGATGAATTCAAAATCTATCGATTGATAAATCATTTACCACTGATAATAACCGGTTCTATTACAGTTTACACAATTTAGATACCGGTTCACTGTGGCCTTGTTGACCAGGAAGATAGTGTCTGAAAAATGGAAAAAACAGAAGAAACTGTTTATTTTTATTTGTGATGTTTCTTTTGCAACTGAGTCTGGTCATATATCAAGCCAGTAAGGGTTGTTGTCTTGGTAGATGCTCGAGCCTTGGCGGCAGCTTCAGTGTTTTCTTCTTGCAAACAGTTTCAAGCTCGTCATATAGAATAGTGTAGTTGGAGCTACTGATGTTTCTGAAGTAACATTGGTCACTTCCAACATAGTTATACACTTGTTGTGTGCTTCCATATCCATTGACCACTAAGTTATTCTTCACTACCATTACTCCTTGCCCTTCTTGCTTGTTTTCAAGCTTGCTCTTGAATGTTCTCATCAACCCGTTGTCGCTCTCAGATCTCTCCTCGTTGAATGCCATCTTGACATTCGCAATCTCCAGAGAAGTGTTATTCTGTTGCTCCAATGAGTCAGAGTCGAGGTAAAAGGGAAAGCTTTTGATGGATTTCGCGCAGTAGATCTCTCTCGAGGCTCTCTTGGCGTGAATACGATCATCGGCTTGGATCAACTGATCTATGATCTGCAAGTTCCCATCTTTACCTAAAACCATATTGTTTTCGTAGCTAAATTCTTGATTGGCATTAGTTATGATGTCCCCATGAGAGGATTTGACCAACCCTATCGAAGTTATCGACCTCTTTGCTTTCGTCGTGAAGTTTCCATTCAAGCCTTTAAAATCCGAGACAGAGCTAATCTCCAGAGAGCTTCTACTGAACTCCAACACCTTCCCTTCAACTATCTCCTTCTCTTGATCCAACCAAAGATGCAAATTCGCATCGATATACCAAACATTCAACGCATTTGTCACACTAAACCCCACCTTATGACTCTTCCCATCCAACAAACTTCCCAAGAACGGTGTGATCTCGATATCATAACTCGGCAAATCAAAAGAGCCAATAGCAGTGATTGGTCTCCAGAGCAAAGGATTGATCCCACCGGTGAAGACAACAGGGAAAGGCCAAACCGCACCAGCAATATCACCGTCAAGACTAACCACAACTTCTCTAAAAGGTCCGTTACCAGCAACACTGAGATTATTAGCAGTAACGAAATCATTAGGAAGATTTCCATACCAAAACTCATCATTCTCATGGAAAGAAACATAAACCTCAAGAACAGCTCTATACACATTCCTAGGAATTTCAAATTCCTTATACTTAGAATCATTCGAATTCACAATTTCAAACCACAATCCATCGTTCAACGGAAGATTTCTCGAAATCGGCAGGATCATATCAGCTCGAGGAGAGCTATAACCAGAAGGATCTTCAAGATTACTTTCGAGTTGATAGAAATGGAAGATCACATCAACATGGTAAACACCAGTATAGGTTTTATCAATAATATTACCAAGATAAACAGAGAGAAGCTGAGTCTCGTTCTTGACGAGTAAAGAGTGATACTTAGTCACATCTTTCTCGACAGACCAAACAATTCCGTTTGGTCTAGGCTCGGCGGTGCAGCTCCGGAGAATCATAACACCGTCAAGCCAAACACCGAATATCCGATCGAATTGTCGTCCTTGGCTAGTGGATTTGAATTCGAGGACGATTTTGGAGAATTCTCGAGAGGAGCAGTGAGAGGGAAGAGTGTAATTGGAGAGAACCGGTGGTTTAGCATAGGTGTAGCCAAAGTCATGGTGGAGAATTCGATACGAACACGGTGGTTGAGCTGTCGGCAGATTTGGGACGGGAGGTTTTTGAACCTCGAAGTAGCGAGTAGGGGATTTTGTGACGTTTTGGAGAGGAGAAGAGAAGAAGAGAGGAGAGAACTGAGGAGGTTTGAAACGTGATCTGGTTTCGTGGAGATCGGAGACGGCGGATAGAGAGTGGACGACGAAGAAGAAGACGGTGAAGAAGATGATTGGTGGAGGAAGAGAGGAAGTCATGACGTTTAGCTTTTGGTCTCTGCCTGTCTGGTAATCAAACTGATTTTAAAGAATGCTATTTCAATTAAACTAATCTTTTGTTTAATTTACTAAAAGATGCTTCCAAGAATAACAAAAATCTTACATTTATAATCAATGATTAACATTTGGATTTGTTTCTTTCTTGGGATCCATCGATTTAACATTCCTTGTAATATTAAAAGGACCAGCCGCATCCAAAAAAATTGTATTTAATATTACAATGACCAAATTACCCTCCTTGCTTTTATAGTCTTAACAAAGTACTCGTAAGCATTTCGATCATTGATGCTAGTTTTGCAATGCACAGTACTTATTGAGTTACTTCTTTCTAAACATAGAAATTTATTTAAAATGTATTATATATATATATATATATTGTTACTTTCTAGTAAATCAATCGCAAAACGTAGCATATAAAGAAAAACTATTAGTTGAATCTTTGAAGCAAAGTAACAGACAGTATCTAGTTACAATCATATGATCAAATCCAACTATCAAAAGAAAAACATAAACACTGACTACTACACTTTAAGAATCATTGCAAAGTTCTTGTTTTTGTTTAGAAAACATCATTTGTTCTTATAATCTAATTAGAGACTTGGCTTAGCTATGGACAAAAGGTTTGAGAAAAAAATGAAGGCCGTTGTTGAAAATATAAGATAAGTTAGTTTAGAGATATTTTTAAGAGAGAGATCGGTTGAGCATAGAGACTTGGCCGGAATCTCCATTGAGTAAGAAGACTTCAAGAGGTATGTAAGGAGACGATGAAGAATTTGATCCAAACCTGTACGCTGGCTGCAACAATTTGCTACCGTTTGCACATTGAATCGTTAGAAGACGCGGCCCCGTTCTCATCTGCCACACCTGGTTTCGATTCGATTGGATGCATAATCAAATGAGCATACAATCAAAACAAAGATACTGTTATCGAGAGAAGACAATGTTGTTACCTCGATGATGCCTTTGCGTGGAGCGTGAATGGCTAAGCATAGACAGTAATCACTTTTTACTGGTTCTGTGTGAATTACAGATTTTCCTTTATCCTTTTTGGCTAACATCTCCATGAACACACAGCTTGCATCACGATAACCCTAGCAAAGAAACTTTGGTTTTAAAATGATAATAGAGTGGAAATTTAAACGAAGAAGTAGAGTATTAAGGATGTTAAAACAAACCTTCCATAGCCGGACAACTACAAGAGCTTGAGTGTCTAGCAGAAGTATTCGACCAAGAGAATCTGTTATCGCAGCTAATGTCCCACTCGGGGATAACGTGAGCTTCTCGCCTTTCCTTGGGTAGTCCTTTATACATGTCAAGGATGATGCTGCACCAACATTTTGACAAAGGTTAAGGGCCATAGATGGATTCTCAAAAATTGAAGGGATTAAAGACGCATGAAATCTACCTCGAGCGAATGACTGAGTCTTGGCTTCTGGCTTTCGCTTTGGTGATTGATCATTACTTCTCCAGATCAGTTTAGAGAAAGAAGCTATGGTTGAAGCAGCTGCAGGCACAACTTTTGATAGAATCGCTCCAACAAGTGATCTCCCTCTATCTTCTGAGAGCCTTTCAAAGAAGCATAACATAAAAACTCTAGTTAACAAAACTGATTCTTTAATCAACAAAAGAACACCATGAAAGCAACATATGGAAGACATCACTGAAGAATTACCAACCTGTAAGCTGAGATCACAGCATCCTCTCCAATGGTCACTGCACAATAATAACGTTGACTTGACTGTCAAAGAATAAAATCAGCCAGATTTATAAACCGGAATAAACTTCAAAAAGGTCCCGGTGTCAGTGAGTTCATAGTTTGAAACAATCAAATAGACATCACTAATCACCTGAAGTTCCAGTAACGGAGGCGGCATTACGCCAGTGACAGTAGCATCAACGCACACACCATTCTTGTTGACATTCCATATCTGATACGGTAGTCGTTGGTACAAACTACCAGAATCTTCTACATCACCCTTTCTATTCTTTTGGTCCCAAAAATTAGAATTCTTTTCTTGAAACCATTTCTGAAGCATACTCTACAAATATGAAGACAAAAATAAAACAAATCTCAGAACATACCTAAACATCACCTCAAAAAAATCCTGCTTTGTCAGAAGTTTTTCAACAATACCTGAATATTGGAGCCATCAAAGCGGGCAATAATGCCAGGCAATACAATGCAAATCTCCTCAGAGGATGTCTCTTGCATCAAATCCTTCTTAGTTCCTCGAACTCTTATTTTCAATATACGACTTGGGTGTACCATCTGTAAATACACACAATTAAATAAGTAATTCACCCATAAGATCACTTTAAAGTAAACTTAAGATCTCTTAAGTCCTCAACCAAACAACTGCCACAGTGTTTTCAGACAACATTGTTCATAAAACCAATGTTTCCGCAGTTTAAGCAAACATCAGTTTCGAAATCGATAAATTAACAATGCGGACCAAAAAGTTATTAAATTTCACCTGCTTATGAATCAGATCACCGGCAACAGAATAAACCAAGAGATACCCACAAGAAGTCCCTGCAACCACGACTCTGACGTCATCAAACACTAACCATTCGATCGCCGTAATCGACTCAGCCTCAATCGGAGACAGATCGGGTCTGATCTTAAGACGAGGCGCATCAGGATCACCCCAATTCACAATCAAGATGAGAAATCGGTTAGCTAGGGCTAAAGAGTGAGAATCGAGTGCAGACAAAAGGTTTGGATTGTTCACGAGCCACCCTTCTTTACCCGCACCGAGCTCGCTAAGTTCCTCACACGCGATGCAGCCTAGTTCCGTCAGGTGGATCCTCTTCGCCATCGCTAATCTATTGAAACCAAAAAAAAAAAAAAAAAGACAAGATTTTTATTTTTCTCTGGTTACTACTACTAATGGCGCAGCGGCAAAACGCCGTCGTATCGTTTTGCCTTATATAATACAGTTTCTAAACCATCTCTAAGCTGTTTCTGGAGAAGAAATGCTGAGTCAAGATTTAACCTTTTCTAAAACCCTGAACCCTAGCTTCTCCTTCCGTAATTCTCCACTCAATTCCGGCGTACGAAGGATCGTTTCGGTTTTACCGGTTATTACCGAGAGGAATTATGCTTTCAGTGTCAAAAGGTCGGAGCTTTTTCTTAGAGAAGATGGTAGATTCCGGCGAGACGTGCGGGCTTTGGCGGGGAGGAGCAAGAAGAAGCTTGGAGGAGGTTCATCTGGTGGGAGGATAGAAGGAGATGCGGATATGAGGAAGCAGGTGAAGAGGAATGCTCGTGATAAGTCGAAGAAGCTTGCGGAATCTTTGTTCTATAGATTGTATAATAACCCTGACAAGAGTCGGAGTCACATTCTCAGTAGTCATCCGGATAAGTTTACGGAGGAAGAGCTTGAGATGATTGGGCTTGGTTACGATAGGATGGTTAGGTTTATGGATAAGGATGACCCGAGATTGCGTCATCCTTATGATTGGTTTAAGTATGGTGAGTTTGGACCTTACTCGTGGCGTGGTGTTGTGGTTGGTGATCCGGTTCGTGGTACTATATCTGATGAGTGTGTTACTATGATTGGTGAAGTGGAGAATCATGAAGAGTTTGAGAAGATTGAGCAGCATGAGATGAATTTAGCTTTTCAGAAGAGGGTTAAGGAGTTGGATTCGAATGTTGGTTTGAGGTATTTTTGGGTGTTTGTCAGGCATCCGAAATGGAGACTCAGTGAGTTGCCGTGGGAGCAATGGACGTTGGTTAGTGAAGTGGTTGTGGAAGCGGATAAGAAGCAGAGGTTGGATAAATGGAATTTGATGGGGAGGTTGGGGAACAAATCTCGGTCTTTGATATGTCAATGTGCGGCTTGGTTTAGACCTGATATTGTGTATGTGAAGAAGCCTGTGTTTCAGTGCAGGTTTGAGCCTCAAGAAGATTTCTTCAACTCGCTTATCCCTTATCTAAACCCGGTAACGGAATCTGGATTTGTGTGTGAAGTGGAGGATGATGAAGGTAGAGTGGAGCTGAGTACTTATTACGGAGGGTTGTGTAAGATGTTGAAGGTGAGACAGACAGCTTTTGTGGATGATGTGGTGAATGCTTATGAGAAGTCGAGTGATGAAAAGAAGTCCAAAGTGTTGAAGTTCTTGCTTGGAAACCACCCGAACGAGTTGTTGCATCCGTATACAAAGGAGTGGAAAGCAAAGTTGGAGGAGATGGAGTTGGGGTGTGATGCTCCAGATGAAAATGAGGATGAGACAAATTTTAATGGAAGCTCAGAGAAGGCTGAATTCTCAGAATGGATTGAAGATGAAGCTGACAATAACGATGACGATGGTGAGGTGGAGGAAGAAGATGATGATGATAACATGGTTGTGGATGTGGAGGGAAACGATGAAGAAGACAGTTTGGAAGATGAAATAGAGGAGTCGGATCCAGAAGAGGATGAGAGGTACTGGGAAGAGCAATTCAACAAAGCGACAAACAACGCGGAGAGGATGGAGAAGCTTGCGGAGATGAGTATGGTGGTGTCAGATAAGTTTTATGAGAAGCAGTTAAAGGCATTGGAGGAAAGAGAGAAGGGAGAGATTGAAGGAGATGAGTTGGAAATGAGAGGTAAGAAGGCAAAAGTGAAGCCAGAAGAGTGGAAGACAGTAGGATATGGAAGGTGGATGAAGAAGATAAAGAAGAGTAGGATCCCACCTGAGCTGTTTCTCCGTGCTGCTGTTAGGCCTTTTGTTTACAGAAACCTTGTCAAAGAGATTGTTCTTACAAGACACGCCATTTTGGAAGGCGAGATTGGTCAGAAGGAGTGAATTTCAGGTCCGAGTCTATTTGATTAAAGAATGAAAAAGACAGCGAATATTTGATGTATGTTAATAGCATCATAAGAGTTTAATCTTCCCGATCTCATGTGTAAATGAGTCGGAAATTTGAACTTTTTTTTGTTATCAATGGTTTATTATGTTGATTCTGCAACCCTGCCTGTTCAAAGGAGATTCTTTTTCCTGGTTCAAGAAGCTCTAGTTGACACTTAAGTATCAGTAATATACAAAAGAGTGTTAAACACATACTGATAGTTTGATCACAAAAGAATACTACTAGTTTGATTACAAAAGCATATTATTAGTTTGAACACAAAAAAAAAAAAAAGCAAAAGAAGTTGCAAAGTGCAAACATAGGCACAAGATTGGTACAGCTAAGTCCCTGCCGATGTACTTGCGGGGATAAAGTATTCCTCCGGGGTATAAAACTTTAGCCCACTCGCCTGCAACCAAAGAGAGTAGTTGTCTATGAGGAAAGTCGAGAAAAATATATATATGGTGACTTAAAAGAAAGGTATCGTCTGAGATGTCTGATGTTTGTAACAAATACCTGTGCAAATTTGATGTCAGCGTCGCTGTGATCCATTTTTCTTCCGGCTGCATCCCCAACGTAGAAGGATCTGATGAGAACAGCACAATAGTCAGTATCAACAAAACGAAAGTGTCTAAGAACACAAACTGATAGCATTTAATCAGGAAGGCTAATGGACAAATGAGTGTAATCTTCCAGCAGAGCTAGAAGTTTCAGGTAACTCCAAGTTTTTAGGAGCAGGTGGGGAGAAAACTAACTTATCCATATCAATTGCAATTCCAGAGTTAAAGTGCTTCTTCATGAGTTGCCACATTCCAGCCTTGGGTTTGCGGTAAAAGTCATCTTTACTACCTTTACCACCAGAACTTGAGACTCCACAGGCTATAAACACCTGTTTGCAGAACAAAATCATTTATAATCTTGACAATATCAGCAACAATAGAGAATTGGCACTTTCGAAACTATGAAAATTTGGGTGAAAGCTAATAAGAACATGCAAGACAGCATCACTATTTTCTCAGTGATTATACCTATACGCCAGAACAAATCATTAAAACCATATGAACTAACTTCAGGACAAGGCATTGCATACATCATAGTTTCTTTTCCATTACTCATAATAATAGCTAGGGTTTGTTGAAGCAGTGTTCTTGAGTAGATACAATCACGTTCTTACTTATGAAAACAGAAGAACACTTAACCTGAATGGGGACCTTCACGCGCTCGATAAAACTGTTGAGACGTCCGATTTTCGAATCTACAGCAGCTTGCCGCTTGTTCTTCCATCGATCAATGTTGGATTCATTTGTGAAAATGACCTGTTGAACATTTAAAACCAGCTACTCTATAATCTATATAAACAAGACTATTGAGTAACTAAGACTTTATTCTAGCTGAAAATAAGATACCAGCTTATAGCCTTGATTGTACAGACTTTGCAGTTTCTCAGGAATGGAAGGATACATTAGGGACCATGCATCTGCCCCTACTCTGAAAAAGAAGGAAATAGAAAACATTATGACAAATTACAATGTTTCTTATTTTCCTGGAAAGACGAGGTTCATGCTTAACACCATTAAAAGGATAAACAAAAATTTCAGAAATGTAACCACTTGAGATAGAATGAATATCCCATAGGTCCAGAAATCAGAAAAAGACAACCTACTTGGTTAGACGCGGAGAAAATAGTAGAATTCTGGGTGACCAAAGAGCTTCTTACATTTTCACAGATGTTTTTGCAAGGCATCCATCAAAATCAAATGCAGCTATTTTCTCTGAATCATTAAGACCATCATCCTGTTAAAATGTAACAAAGGTATATACAATTAGGCCATAACACATTACCAAATATACTCAAGATGCGTCGTCATATCTGAAGCTGATTTCTCACCCGCTCAAGGAATATAACTGTCTCAAAAGCTTTCCATTTTGGTAATAGATTGGCATCCTGAGAAACAAGAAGATTAGCAGCCAGAGAGATAAAAGAACTCGAAAAAGAATACAAATGCCAAATCTACAAACTCCCAAGAAGAACATTTAACACAGGCATACATGGCTTAACCTAATAGACACTATAGGTGCTTACCCTGTACTTATCCTTCACATCAGAAGCTGAAAGAGAGATTTCTGCTTCGACCTCGACCTGAGAAGTCGACTCACTGATATTCACCTGCATAACACAATATTTCAAAATCATTAAGTAGAATTTCTACACAATGAAGAGAGTGGCTACCAATAGCAGGTATTCAATACATATTGCTTGTATACCTTATGTGTTTTAGCCTTATGTTGGTTTGCTTTAGTTAGCGATTCATCTTTTTCCACTATCTCCCCAACCTTTATAAGAAACAATAAATTACAGGTCAAGGAATATTCCAGATTAACAAAATTATAGTATTCAAAGATGTGATTATTGCTATTTATTAACCTCAGAATGTTTTCTTTTGTTTGTCTCCTCAGTTAGCTTATTCTTAGCTTCAGATTCATCATTATCTTCATCCATCTTCTGCAATCCCGCAGCGAAATGAAGTAAGAAGTTAGTTTAAAGAAGCCTACAATGTTAAAGTTCACTACATTTTCTGACTATAATACTTAATTTATGGTTAAGACATGAAAAAAGCTTTAAAACAGAATGCTTTCGTCAAAGAATACAAATATTATAAAAATGGGTGTTGCTGGTACATCTACCAAAGTCTTCTTCCCGCATTGTTGGACCAATTCCTTTAAAGCATCCTGATCACCACTCTGTTTATAATTAAATCAAATATAAAGATGTGTTAGCACAAACAAGGATACATACATGTTTGGGTGTTAATTTAGCATGACAACGATGGCAAGCCAACCTGACAATACATTTAATATATACCAACATTTATATTCCAAATAGCATTATCTGTTTCGAATGAGCCTAGTTACCAGACGATATATACAATAATTCAGAAGCTCTATCCCCTGAATCTTTAAATACAGACTAACCTGCAGTTCTGAAAATCCACCAACGTCCTCTACAGAACTAATGGGATCAGAGTCAACAGGAAAACAACCCACGTGATGCCATTGTGTCATATCAAAGCCACGGAAGTTTCTGGTCACCAGGCCCAACCTCAGTTCCTTTGCAGCGATAGTCTGAGAGCACTTCTTGCAAGTTGATCTGCTCGATTTCGCATACTCAGAGATAACTTTTGAAGAATCAGGAGAACCTGTCGTCTCCTTAATCTTCTGCCCACTTATTTCATCAGATGCAGGCATTTTTATCTCTTCATCCTCATTGACCTGCTTTATTTTAACCGATACAAGCAGTTAAGAAAAGTACTTCAGTCAAAACTCTACATCTAGATGAGCAAATGAGACTGAAGTCTGCATACAAAACTATCATTTTTTCCTCGCACAAAAGAAGATTGTCGCTTCCAGAACTTACTTCTTTTGCAGGCTCGCCAGGTTGTTCCACCAATTTTGCAACCTGGGAATGTTTTCCTTTTTTTGTCTCCTCCGTTAGCTCATTATCAGCTACAGATTCATCATCACCTTCATCCATCTTCTGGACATCCTGCCAGAAAAGGAAATAAGAAGTTATTTTCAAGAAGCCTGAAATGGTAAAGTTGTCTACATTTGCAAAAACAGACTATAATACCTACTTTCCCGTTAACACATGATAACAAATTAAAAAAATTAAAAAAAAAACAATCCTCTCATCAAAAAAAAAAAAAAGAGAAATATTATGACTAAGGATATGGCTAGTACATCTATCAAAGTGTCCTTCCCGCTTAGTTCGGCCAATTGCTGTAATTCTTTCTGGTCACCTTTCTGTTTAGCATAACACATGAATCAAATATAAAAGATATGTCAGCGATGTGCCATTGGTATATTTGAGAAACAAAGGGACAATACTTATAATACCTAAATCAATATTGTAAATAGCATTAGAGGTTTCAAATTATAATCCTAGTAACCATAATCATCAAAAAGCTCTATCCCCTGAACTGAAAATTCCTAATCTGTAAATAAAGACTAACCTCAAGGGATGAATATCCACCAACGTCCTCCACAGAATCAATCGGATGCCAATCAATGGGAAAACAACCCAAGTGATGCCAGCTTGTCACATCAAATCCCCTGGCGTCTCTAGTCACCAGCCCCACTCTCAGATCCTTTGAAACGATTGTCTGAGAGCACCTCTTGCATGATGACCTGCTCGATTTCGCATAATCAGCAATAACTTTTGAAGTTGTCGCCTCGTTAAACCTCTTCGGCCCAACTAAAGGCTTCTTAACCTTTTCCTTCTTCTCATCACGCTGCTTTAAGTTTAACAGATACAAGCAGTTATGGAAAAGTAGATGAGCAAATGAGACTAAAGAACATCACTTTCCAAATTCTTACTTTTTTAGCAGGTTCTTGACCACCTTGTTCCACCAATTTCGTCAAAGCATCCTGATCTTCTTTCTGTAACCATATAAGCACAAGCATGAACACACATAACCGAAAAAAGTTAAAAACTTTAGACAGAAAAAAAAACAACCCTAGGGAGCCTAAAATACAGAAACGTAAGGAAACCCTAACCTCTAAAACGGATAAGCCTTGAATATCATCAACGGAAGCAATCGATTCCGAATCAGTCGGAAAACAATCGAAATGGTGCCACCTGGTCATGTCAACCCCGCCAGGTCCTTTGCTAATCAACCCTAACCTAAGCGATTTCACAGCTATCTTTTTCGAGCATGACTTACACGACGATCGATTCGACTTCGCGTACTCAGCAACGACCGGCATTGTTGTTCTCAAAATGTAACTGTGGTTGTAGAGGAGATACTGTGGTTGTTCTCGGAAGAAGAGAGTGGAACGATTTATAAGGAGAGGGAAAAGGAAACGAAGAGACACGAAGGGGACTACTGTAATCATATAGCCATGGTGGAATTCGAGAAAAAGGTGATTAGGGTTCTGTTCTCGTTCCCGCCTTTCTCGAAAGCAGAAGTCTGTCGGTAAATTGATGTCGGCCATAGGGGCATAATTGTAAATACAATATACGTTGGTTTCGGGCCAAACCTCAGTCTCTCCTCTTTTATTGGGCCGATTTGGCTGTTTTGGGCTTTTAAAGGCCTAAATAAGTCACGTTTGTAGTTTTTTTTTTAAATTAGGTTTACTAAGCATTTTTTATGAAATAGAAAAAAGCATTTTATGCAATAATAAAAAAAAAAAAATCTATGTCTCCTCTTCAACCAATCAAAAACCCTATGAGTAATAGCAAGAAGAAAATTGTCATGTCATCATCTTGTCTTCGCTTAAAAGAAAGACTATTTAGAGGAAGAATCTTTTTTTTTTTTTTTGGTATCAATGTTTAGAGGAAGAATCTTGAAACTAAAACCAAACAAAATGTTTGGAATCGACGCCGTGATAGGAGGACGCGACGCGTACCATACCCAAGTGTCCTCGTGCATGTCTTCGAGACACATGACCATGCCACGTTCACTTCATCTCTTCTTTTTGTAGCTGACTTTTCTGTTTTCTGGTTATCCACTTGGTCTATAGAAACCAACAATTAGTCAATTACCTATGTCCCCGATTCTCTGTCTTTATTATTTTTTTATAAACAAGTTACCAAAAGCCCCAATCAGGTCCGATAATATGATCTCATAAAAATTCACACACATGCAGAGAAATCCAACTGAAAAAGGTAAACTAAAACAAGCAAGACCCATAAGTTGATCTTTATTGCATCCGGAGAGACAACATGTTTTTTAGTTTATTTCATAACCATGTAAAAAAACCAAACTCAGTCTGGATAACCAAAAACATGGTAAGAACATAAAATTAATATCAAAAAACTAACTTTCTTCCACAATTCTCATTACCTTTTCAACCGTTTTAATTAGCTTTAAACTTCGGAACTTCGACGACGGTCATGGCTAGTCCCCCAACCAGCAACGCCGGTACGAAGCTCAGCCGCAGCGATAAGAAACTCTGCTTGTTGGAGCGGACTCAGGAGCTCCACCACGCGTGTGATCGTTCTCAGTCGCAGATCATCAGTTCGATGGACGATTTCTGCTAGCCGTCGGATCCTCTGCTCGGGATCGGAAGAGGTCCCCATGACGAGGTCACTCGCATCGTCTTGCCACTCCGATAACTCGTCCGTTATCGCGTTCTCTTCATTCACCGTCTCACATTGTAGCTCACTCACCGTCCTGCCTTTGACAAATTTAACCCTAATATTAAATTTTTAAGTAGTCAAAATCCATTAAGTTAGTCCATATATATGCTTACACATATTGGAAAAAAAGAAATACTAAATAACAAAGTAAAATAATTACAAAAAAACTGGAAAACTATATCAACGATCATCTATGAACAAAATGTGTTTTTAATCTCTCGAATCTGTTGTTATCCCTCAAAATGTTTTTTGCACTTTATAAAACATATTGTATTTAGTAAGAAAAATAACCAAATAAGCAACCTCTATTCAAAATTAATCTCTTTGATATCTCTAGCTGTATGTGTGAAATTGTATAATTTTTGGCAAACAGATTATAATTTTTGATATTACTACAATCAATTTACAACGTTAAGAGATACTTAATCATAAATTAAACACAATATCATTAGAAGAGTACGAGCTGTGATTAGTAGACAAAGTAGCTAACTAGGGTTTCATGTATATAACCTGAACTGAGACGGAGAGAGATCGCTGAGGTCACCTGTGCGAAAGCCACGAAGTATATCAACGATACGAGACTCAAATAAAATACTCGACTCAGTGTAAACCAGATGAAACAAGGTTGTTGGTCGCCAACCACCGACCCAATGGAGTGACCGTTCAAGGGCTGAAGCCCAAGGAGTAGCCATAACTCCGATCACGTCTTTCTCCGTCGTCGCCCACTTGGCCCTGTGGTACTCTCTAAAGTGTTCCATCACTCTCTCCACAGCTTCCCTTAACCGTTCCTCATCGCCGGTAGCGGAATTCCGGTGGTGGTTTTGGACGGAGCGGAGGTGGTTCAGGTGGTTTCGTAGCTGATCGATCCATGACTCTTGGAATTTCTTGAAGCTCGTTATCGCTGCCTCTTGGCTCATTTCTTTGGGGTCCTCCGTAGTGTTTGGGATGGTCGAACCATTTTTATAATAAGACTAATATGCTTTTATGTTTTTTTTTTTGTCACCGACTTTGTTACCGTATTAACGTTCACATTTGATTTTTCATTTCTTTTCCCAAATGCTAGAGAATAGAGATGCATATAATTTAAAGTCCGGTCAAAGATAAAGTAAAGTTTTATCGCTTTGTAGAATTAATGTTTTAATCTCCTTCCTCTTTTGGTGCCAATTTTTTGTAAAACTGTATTTCAATTGACAATATTGTAAACATTGGCCTCTGCGTAGGATGAATGAATGCAGGTGTAAATGGCCGGTTTGGTCTCAATTTGTGATAGTAAATTAATGGTATTTGACAAGTTGAACTTTCAATATACAGTATCATAGTAACCGGATTGGTTCGGTATAGTTCAAGAATCAAAGACAAAACCGAGTCAATTCCCACTGACCTGGTAATATATAAAGATCATTGGACATAAGACTGTTTTTGGGCCCAAAAGATCTATCAAAAATACAATGGACCCATCAGAGTATTATCTGAAAATATTTGGTCGGTCGTGAAAACAAATAAATAGATTAGTCCCAAAAAGTCAAAATTGAAGAAAATAATTTACACGTCCATGATTCGAAATCACTTTTAGAAGATATCTTCTTTCCACTCATAAAAAAATTACTTACTTTTAATCATGTACATTCTTCTTTGATTCACTAATATTGTATCATATAATATCGACTACAACATTACACAAATAATCGAAAATAGCAATTATACTAATTATTACGAATTATTTACATATGATATAAGTGACAACATCTAATAATTGATGGAAAACAGCTAAGAGATGCTTCTGTCTCTCTGCTCTAATATTGACAAAGATAAAAATAAAAACCATAACAAGGCACATACTTGCCTCTTCTCTTAATCCAACGGTCAGCAAATTTTCTCTCCTTATATATTTTTCCTAAACCCCAAAAAGTCCCCCACCACCTAAATTACACTAATACCCCTGTGACGTCATCGCCGGAATCTATCTGATCGGACGGCGTTGACATGAACGCGAGAGGAAAACCTCACATTGTATCAACGCTTTCCCAATTCTAAACCCAGGAACCACCGTAAACGCAACTCCCGGCTCAGTTTCCGACGAGCTTACTTCTTCCTCCGGCCGAGAGAAAAACGCTTCCTCTGACACACTCTTCATGTACACTTCGGAGAATCTGCATCCTCTAGATACTTGAAAGATTGAAGCTTCAGGGTCGAAGGAGAAAGCAAGGCAATGTAAAAGCCAAACCCTTTTCGCCATTTCGAGAAACGCAGTGCACAAGCTTGTCTCCGGAAACTCACCTGCACTGACTTGGTTTCTTAGATGCAAATGTCCGAAGAACGCGTGCTCCATCTTTGGATGTATGAGCTGCAAATACTTCCCTCTGCAAAACTTAGCCAATCTTGATTTAGGCCGTGATGCTAAATACTCTTTTGGTTTCATCGATCTAAGCTCTGTGAATCTCTCAAAGAACATCTCTCTGTCTTCTCTGCTCTTCTTCTTCGATGATTCGTTTGAGAAGTAAGGTAGATGAAACGCTTCAAACATTATCTTGCAGACGTAATGCTCGAAAGCAAAACACTTGTGGTCTTGCTTGTAATAGAACACTTCAGGTTGTATCGAATCAGCAGCCATATCGATGTCCCAAGCTGCGAGTTTCATCTGCTCAATCATTAACTTGACGAATCCTCGGATTGATTTGACAGTGTGGTGCAGATAAGTAGTTAAATGGGTTGGATTTAGCGCCGATAGATGAAGATTATGATCCAATGGATTGCAAAGTTGGCCACTTTGGTTTAGTCTCTTCTCCATCAACTTGTTCTGACTCATGGATTCTTGATACTTTTCTTTAAGAAATATGATCTCAGATTCTTTAAGCTTTAACTGACACTCAAGCTTCTTCCCCGTGATCTCATAAGTCTTTAAGACGCTTCTCAGCTCTTGAATCTCCGCAAGAACAAGAGTTCTATCAGGATTAGGATCAAGCTGTTTCTTCAAGAAACTCTGTTTCAGCTCTGATAATGTCTTGAGCTCTGCTACTACCAAGTTGTCTGCTTTCTGAATCCCATTTGGATCATAAGGAGACTGAGCATACTGCAACTGCGCATAACCAGATTTTATCGAAGAAATCGTAGCAAACAGCTTTGCAAGTAGAGCTTCCATTGCCAGTCTTTTCTCATACTCTTCCTCCAGCTTGTCAAATGACTCAGACAGATTTGCAGCATTCTTCACTAAATCTTTATCCAACTTCACCTTTTCTTGGCTCTTCTTCACTCTCTCAACCTTGTCGCCTTCTGGAACAACACCGGTTAGCTTTTTTATGTTGACAACTTTAGCAAATGTGCGTCTGAGTTTTCCTTTTCCTGAAGCAACAACATCCAATGGTTTCACAGACTCCATCTGCAGATTCATCACTAATGCTTTAGTAAGATAACAAACAAAAGTGAAGGAGGGGTTGAATAGGACTTTTAACAATGTTTATATCGAACAAAAAGAGAAAGTAAAAGGAAAATTAGATCTAGGACCATTAATAGAGCTTCACTTTGTAGAGTTCTTTAGTTCACAACAAAAATGAAGAAGATGAAGAGCAGAGAAGAAGAGATTGTTTCACTAATGGTTCACACTACACTTTTGGTCACAAAGAAGAGAGATGTATGCAATAAATATATATACACAGAGAACAGAGAGAGAGAGAGATACATGCTTAGATTATCTAGTGGATACAGCTTAAAGATTCATCCACAGTTGTGGGGACAATGTGGTTCATATATAAATGAAAAATGTTTTTTCTTTACAAGGAATAAACAATCAAGAAATGTCCAAGGAAGAAGAATAAACAACTTGCGTGTGTAGTACCATTTCTTTTCATGAACCGATCTACTTTTTTTCTTTCTTATTAATGTTCTGAAATCTTTTGCTATATATGTGGTGTGTGGGGCTATTTAGTCAAATTGTGCTGCTATAGAACCAAACAAAAGTGAGAAAAAAACATGTAATAAAATAACACCCAAATGGGTTTATCTGCAGAACACATGACACATGCATATAATTCAACACCCCTCGTTCTGATTTTTTATTCACTTTTTTGTGAAAAGGAACAGTCAAGAAAAAAGTGCAAAAGTGAATACAAAAAGAACTAATGAGTTTAAATACATTTAGATACTCAAAGTTGTTCATAAGTTATCAATTATGGGACACTGATAAAAGGATTAGAGTATTCATGATTCATAATTGCTACAAACCAAATCAGTTAAACTAGAATCCAAGAACATAAAAGTGCCCCCACACCCAAATACACACATGTATGTATATGATTCTCTTGAATGGTCATTTGATTCCACTCATTTGAAGAAAAAGTAAGACAGCCTCAAAGCCTAACATAGCTACCTAACATTTAGTACAGTCACAAGCTATTCACAAAACAACCATATTTCTCTATTTCACTAGAGCTCTAGACCCTAAATCACACAGATTAAAGGATAACTAGTGAGGAGAGTTATGCTAAACAGTGATAATGAACTCTGCAACATAACAAGTAAACCCAAGAAGGTTTAAATTAATATGTTACTCAGGGTTTAATACAATTTTAGAAGCAAAGTTCATGTAAAAAGTACCTTCCAAAATTTTCAAGGTCTCTATCTATCTGTCTCTCTCTCACTATGTTTCTATGGTCTGTTTTGTTGTTCTCAATTCATTGTAGAGTGAATCTGAAGAAACCAACTGGCGAAATGACAAACCAACCTCTGCTTAAACCCTGCAGATCAAATCAATCATATGAAATATTAAATCACTACTCACCAAAGGAAGATTGAAGAAAAAAAGGATAAGAAACCACAGAACCAATATGAGAAAGAAAAACTCCAAAGAAACTGAATAATATGCAAGCTGATCCTTAAACATGGCATTATTGTTATGAATGATGGGATTGTGAAAGAGCCTTCACAAGTCACAATGATATAAATTTATTGATTGAAAATGAGAATATAAAAAACTGCACAATGATAATGGAAACGAAATCATTCAGAAGAAACAAAAGATGATGACAAAGAGAAGTTACTAAATGTTGATTTAGCTAATTAACCTGATCGATGTAAAAACACACACACTCTCCCCGGAAAATCTCTCTGCGTATTTCCACTTAATTGTTTCTTGACGACAAAAAAATGGGTAACAATAAAAAGATACAGATTCCTTCCCGGATTCAAGACAAACCCGGAGCTCGAGAATGAGAAAAGTGAAAAGAGAAAGGCTTTAGAGTGAGAAACAGTCGTCGTCGTCGTAGGAGATGAAGAGAGTAATAAATGACAGAGAGAGGCGAGCCTAGGGAAGTTCAAAGGACATGTGTTTACCTAAATACCCTCGTGGTCAAGAGATATTTACACCGACATTGCTACTTTACTCTACAGAAACGTCGAAAATGAAGAAAGGGTGTTTTCGGTATATCAGGAATAAAATGTTCAGACAGAACTCAAAATCACACACGGTTTGGGTTGGGAAGTGAAACTACTTGGAAGCTGTTTTGTTGCGTACGTACGCGAAGACCGGCCCGTCCGGTATGAGTGAGGTCGATGAACGACACGTGGCAATTAGAAGAAAAGTGTAACCATCTCCCACATTCTGCTGAAAACGCTTTCTTTCTTCGTTATTGGTCTTATTTTGTTAATTAACCATTCTTTAGTTCCTTCCGTATTTAATTGCGTTGATGTTTATTTAATCAAATGAGAACTTTTTAAGTCCATTCTCTATAATTTTTTTAAAAAATTAAGAGTCTTAAATTATTTGTCAAGTTGCATAAAAGACAGCTGAATAGCAGTATTGGCTTTCAACTAAATACGTGAAGCAACTGAACAAGAACAGTTGTCATATCGATGAAAGCAAAATCAAGACTGCAAATTGCTAAGTCTAAAGTTTGAATCATCTTATAAGCAATAATTAAACCAAATTAGTGTTGGTGGATTTTAAATTGTACGTAAATGAAAACTTATACTGCCCGCCATATAAATATAGAAAACGTTGAGAATACATAATTCTAGTTTTACTTTTACGCGTTATGAATATAATGTGGAGTGGAGTGGCATGAAAGTAATTTATCAGTTAGTAGAAAATGAGTTAATTGTCCGTGTTTAACGGAAAGGAAAAGCTTGAGAGGCAATTCGATTTCAATTTCAAACAAAGAATTGAGAGCTATGAGCCTATGAACGTATGGATTTGATAAAATGGGTTTTCTCTATTCACGACTATTCTTGATTCTTTTAGTAAAAAGGTATGATGTGATTGGACATATCGTAGAAGTGCTTCTGATCTGATCAGCTTTATTTGTATTTCTTTACTTAATAATTTTGTCTTTTAGTATTCAAGACTCTAGTAGCCAGTGGATAAACCGATAAAGGATTTAGCTAGCACTCAATAACGGGCGCATTGAAGTAAGAACATTAATAGGCTTAGTAATGGGCCTTATATAAGGCCCAGACCCAGAAACGGGGGTCAGAATTGAACAAATTCAAACACGGGTAACCCAATAACATAAGGTAACTTACTAACTTTTATAAACGACCGATCAACTTTTCAGGAAAACACATTTGTAATAACAAATATTATTACTTTCAGAAAGGAAAAGGAGAAAAAAAAAAACTGTTGTCATCTGCAAATTGGTTTCATTCTATCAGTTGTTGTTGTCTTGGAATATGTAAATCGTCTCCTCTAGGGTTCGATTCCAACTTCAATTGTACTTTGGAAGCTACAGAGAAAGAGATGGGCAAATCTCAGATTCTTCTACTCGCTGAGAGCTTTACTTGTTCTCTAAAGACTTTGTTCACTTTATGGATCGTCTTCACCTTTCCATTTCAAGCTCAAGCTGCTCCTTCTGGTAACTTACCAAACTTTAACTTAGCTTAATATTTTATCCTGTTGCTTTGATCTACCTGCTTCACTCACTTTCTTAGTGAATCCACTTTGTTGTTTCTGAATTTAGGTTCTTTGATTAAACACATGTCCTGGGTTCTCAAGTGGACTACTGGATCATCCTCTAAAATATCCCAATCAGGTTATTGCTCAATTTCTGGTCTTGAGATTGTTTGTTGTTCATAGACTTGGTTTTAATGTATCCTTCTTTATTTGCAGACACTAATGTTCTTCAGTTTGAGAATGGTTACTTGGTCGAAACTGTTGTCGAAGGAAACGAAATCGGTGTTGTTCCTTACAAGATTCGAGTTTCTCATGATGGTGAACTTTATGCTGTTGATGAACTTAATAGCAACATCATGAAAATCACTCCTCCCTTGTCCCAGTGTACATTTTCTGTCTCCATTTCTTAGATTTATTACTTTGTTCTTATGTGTTTGCAGTTTTATGTTCATCCAATTATATACACATGACATCTTGATGGTACTTGATAATTATATACAGTATACTAATGTGATTATTTACCGGATGATCTTGAGCTTGTGTCATTACGTTTTTTATTTTGCTTCAAATGTAACATTTTGTTTTTAGTGTTGAAGGTTTTTATGACTTTGTTTATAATCTGTGCGCTTGTGGGCAGACAGCAGGGGAAGGTTGGTGGCTGGATCGTTTCAAGGAAAGACGGGACATGCAGATGGAAAGCCAAGCGAGGCTCGTTTTAATCATCCGAGAGGTGTAACCATGGATGACAAAGGGAACGTTTATGTCGGTGATACGTTGAATCTCGCTATCCGAAAGATTGGAGATTCAGGTATACATCAAGTTTTCTTTATAGGTTATGCTTATATAAGCACTCAAACTGAAGGAGATTGGTGGTTGCTTGTGGTTGAAAAATATAATCAAGCTGAGAAGAATTGTGTTCTTAAAAGTCTGGAACATTTTTGTTACAGGTGTTACTACGATAGCTGGAGGGAAATCTAATATTGCTGGGTATAGAGATGGACCAAGTGAGGATGCAAAGTTCTCAAATGATTTTGATGTCGTATATGTTCGGTCTACCTGCTCGCTGCTGGTCATTGACAGAGGAAATGCGGCTCTTCGCCAAATCTCTCTCAGCGATGAGGACTGTGACTATCAAGATGATAGCTCCATCTCTCTAACTGGTAAGAAGTCAAAAACACCTCTTCCCACTACATAGATCATTTTGCATACACTCTGCTTAGAGGTAGATTTGAGAGTGTTAACCGAAGATTATTGCGGGCTTAAATGTGGTGCAGATATACTCTTGGTTATTGGTGCTGTTCTCATTGGTTATGCTACTTGTTTGCTCCAGCAGGGTTTTGGAAATTCTTTCTTCTCAAAGACGGTAAATTTCTGTTTCTTCTCTTTCGCACCTTTTCACTTCTCATTAACCGTAAGCTACAAACAACAAAGGTTTCTGTTTTATACTACAGCAGCTAGAATCAGAAACCAGCTTTGAAGAGGAGCACCCAGGCAAAGAGAAACTCTCCCTACCTGTCCATGAGACAAAAGTAACCAAGGAAGAACCTGGTTGGCCATCGTTTGGGCAACTCATTATTGATCTCTGCAAACTCGCTCTCGATTTTATAACCAGCCACCTAGTTCCAACCCGATTCACAACCAGCCATAATCTAAGGCCATTAAAAGATAGACTCAAAATGCCTGAAGACGAACAAGAACCACCTCGAGTCCAAAGGCATACTGCCCCAGCACCAATCTCTGAATCGCGACATGCCCACTTGCCTAAAGCTGATGATAGTTACCCGGAACATAAGACCCCAAAGCTAAGATCAAGTAGTGTAATGAAGGACCCTGCTTTGTCAGCATCCAAGCACCACCGGTCATCATCAAAACGGCAGGACTATGCTCAGTTCTATGCCTCAGGAGAGGTTGCCCCACCGAAGATCCATAAAGAGCGATCAAGGCGTCGCCATAGAGATAAAACAACCGAAACAGAACCAAAGCTAACACCATCAGATACGGTGAAGCCTGTAGAGTACAGTAATAGTTCAAAGTTTGATCATTACAACATGAGGAGCAGCAAGTATGGACCTGAAACTCCATTTCGATTCTAGAAAGTAAAATCACATCCTCATCAGAACCCTTTTCTGAGTATGTTGTGCCCTTTCTTTGGTCCTTACTTTGGGGAGATTCATTATGTTTTCTTTTTGTTAGTTACTAAGAAAATCTTATTACACAGATGAAGAAAAAGAAGTTAAAAGGCTTTTCTTGTAACGAAGGATTGATGAATCATTACTGAAACTCTGATTTCTTTTTAACTTTAATACTCTTTATAAAGATTTACACCTGATCACAAGAACCGGCTCTTCGTTACTAACTTTGTATAATCACATTCTTGCTTGGTATATGAAAAAAATAGAAAAGAATTGAAAAATCAAATAAAGGGCCCTACCGGGTTCGAACCGGTGACCTCTTGATCTGCAGTCAAATGCTCTACCACTGAGCTAAGGACCCTTATGTTCTTATTCGTGATACATTCAACCAAATATTAATTAACTTTAGAATTTCAACGAAGATTGGTTGCTCATGATAGAACAGAGTTAAAAATCTGTGTTTGGCAGTGAGATAAAGAGAGTCTGATTTACGAATATGATTTTAAGATCAACTTTGATAATAACTTGACTTCGTTCAGTTTCATTGTTATACAATTATTGTAGAGATTCATCAGTTGAAATTTTAATAATTGGCTATGTACTTTGATGACAAAGTATCATTCACTTGAAAAACGACCTTACTAAATAAATTGGCAATAGAAGTTTACAATTTCATGTTGTTTTCATCAAACACTTTACGGATTTAGGCTTTAAATTATTTCTTTTGCTTGATAATTCGATTTATTGAATTCTACGTAACCTACATTATATGATTACAAAAATCAGAAACGGACGTTTTTATTCAGATTCAATTGAATCAATCACAATAACAAATGCTATAATTTGGTGTTTCTATGTTTTAAATTTTCTTTTACTCAATCATATAGTTGTAAAGAATCTCATTCCAAGTATCCGGTACGCCAGAGAGACACCAGTGGCTGCAGTCACAGGACTTTTGGCCACCTAGACCGTAAACCGAAGGATGAGCATCTTTGCGAAGCAAGGAAAGCATCGTAATGTCTAACAATGTCACCGGTTTCGATATTTTCCCGAGTGCTCTCTTCAAAACTCCCACTTCTGTTGGCAATCCTCCTGGATAATTTGGCCCCAAAAGTGGTTCCTTCTGTCCCAAGCAACTCTTTGCCGCTGGTTCGCCCCACAGAACTCCTCTGTTAAACAACAAAATCAACTTTTTAAGTATAAGTTTTTTTAGTTGATCATCTTTTTAGTCAAATGTATAACAACTTACTTGTAATGAGACGGTGAAATTCCTTGAAAAAAGACTCTAGTTTTCTTAGTATCTACGACGGTATCAACCCATTTTCCCCAAGTCCCAAGTGCGATCTCAAATGCAGCAACACGGTCCATGTCTTTTGTAACGTTAGTCCCTATTTGAATATAATCCCATCTGCCGGAATACAACAAAACAAATCCAAACTTTGAACATTGTATGTAATTAAGCCAAAAAAGAAAGCATAATATTTAAGAGTTAATTGAACGTACGGTTGTGCAGGACCTCTCCGGCTCCACCAATGCCAAGTATTGAAAATCAAAGTATCCATTTCTGACCAATTTTTTCCATCATTGATCGAATCAAGCTTCAAAACTCTCCCAATCTTCTCCCTCACTATATCTACTAAGTATACATTCCTATCAAGCTTCAATTCCAGTCCATACTCCTGCAATTACACCACTCCGGTTTAGTTCATCCCGGTTTTCTATCCAAGAGACTTTTTAGTTTTTTACTAAACCAAAACAAGTGTAGATTTGTAGTAATAATTACCTGGAATGTGAAGGTTGAGATACTACCTTGTGTGGTTAAAGTATACGAAGAATTGGGAACAGAAGAGTGAAGCATACATGTCAAAGATTGCCATTGATTTAGGCTGAGAGAATCACCAACAAACATTATTTTCTTCCCTTTGTTTTTCTCCAAAAACTCCACTCCATTGAACCTAACACAAACAATATAAAAACGGCTGCGTTTTATGTCGGTGGCATGAATTGAAATTAACTGAAGAAACGGCAGGACAAAACCGTCAAAGAGCTTTGAGTTAGTGTCCCCACAAGTGTGGGGGAATTTATGTCTTCTTATGAGGAAGAGTTTGGTGGCTGTACTAATCTCACTTGCGGCGCGTGTAACTCACGTCGGATCCACCACTTGGCATATATTGTGACAAAAGAGTTCGTTTTCATCTCGTGCAGTTTTGGAGATTCCAAACACCATTCAATTATGGCAAACAACTATATAAATAGCATTCTCTTTTCTCATTGGTTGCTCACTCAAAAGTGCTTTATTTTTTTAAAAAGGTATAAAAACAAATATTTTTAAACATTTTCTAATTTCTTTAAAAGTATCTATATGAGCCAAATCAAAATTTCTTCACATTGTTGAATTATTATTGTGTTTTATCTTTAAATCAACAAAATGTGGTCCTATGGCTATAACGCTAATGTAATGTCATATTTCAACAAATAAAAACCGACGAATAGATTAAGAAAAAAACCTAGAATCAAAAGTAAGAATAAGAAATTTATATCTATAACGATAACTTGGTTCTCAATATCTAGAGTCCTAGACACGAAAAAAATATTGAAAAGATAAAAAATGAAATTATAAATAATGGATGATACCTTGCTAATTTGCAGGACAGAGGCTGCCATCTGAAGGTAGAGTAATCGAGATCTGGCCGTCCATTTTTCTTGCAACCGAACTCACGTCTTATGAATGGACACGTGGAGGGATCGTAGAGTGGGTAAGAATCGTCCTTCACCCACCGCCCTGTGAACTTATCACATCCCTCTGCTTCGTGGAGGAGAAGAAGAAGAAGCGATAAAACTAATGCAGAGCCATAAGAAATGGCGTTATCTCTTGAACCCATTTTAACACAGAGAAGACAGAGAGACAGAGAGAGATTCAAATACGCAACTGGTTTTTATACACCCACGCATCTATATATATATATACACATGTATATATGTAAATTACATTTGTCATAATAAAAAAGGAAACTAAGCTTTTTTTGTTTGGTTTTTATCAGTCAAATATGTGAACTGTAATGCCACATATAATTTTTGGTAAGAAATTTGAAATAAAATCTCAACATTTCTTTGTGTGCATTGACTATTTAATGACGTAGTTTACTAACATTGGTTTCAAAGATTTGGGATTTTGAAATCCAGGTAATGTAATTTACATATGGTCAACAAATTAAATGATATGATTTATAAGTACGATATTTATGTTTACCAATCACAACTTAACGATCTTTTTTGTTTTTGTTCACCTTCAAAATTGCAAAATGTCGGTTACAGGGTCGATATTTACTCCTACCATTTACTTCGAGATCATGCTTAAAATTTTGTTTTTTCTGAAATAAATCGATTTGATCGGACCATAAAGATTCTGTGAAGAGTTTTCTTTTTGTTTTGTCTATTTATAAGGATTTTCATTTGCCGGTGCGACCCCGTGAAAAGCTTGAGGACCTATAGATTGTTGATATTTAATCATTCCTTTTAGTTTAATTGTAATTTTGTAAAGGAATTTTCTAAACGACAATATAGATAATCCTATTAAACTATTACAAGCCCAAATCATTTGTCCATAGAAACAGATGTTAACAGACCAACAATTTATTCGGTCGCACTTATTTAATCTAAAATTATTGTTCTGGTTAGCTCAAGCCAAATAATTTTTATTAGATGTATCATGAAACGTATTAAATTAGTAATAGGATGGTTGACTAAACAATCATATTAAGGGGATAAATACAATAATGCCATTACCGGTGCAATTAATACGTCAAAAATAATTTGAGAAATTTTGAAATAACTCATAGTATATTATGGAATCTTTTTTTTTTTTTTTTTTTTTTTTTTTTTTTGCAATTTCAAGGGTTATTCTTCGTTACAATTCGAGTCATAGCAAAGCTCTAGTGTCCAAATAAGCCGAGTGAAATTTAATTTTCACTCTGCACTCTGTATGAAATTCTCTAAACCACAATATGATTTTATTTAAGAAATTAAACGCCAAATCATACGTCGAACGAATAAAAAAGGAAGTTAACAGAACAACAATATTTGTCTAGACTCGACAGTCAACACTATCTCATTGAAATTGTTTTGGACCTTTTGATTCTCTTAAGATAAATATTCTCTATTATAAAAAAAATTAAGATAAATATTCTCATTTTCTGTTTCATGTAACGTAATTGTCTTAAATAAAATAATCATAATAAAGTAAAATAAAACTTTACAAAACGTCATAATAACTTAACTCCATAATTTCTTTAATTGTTGCAAAAACATAATCGATACTTCTTAAGTTCTTGTGTTCCAATAAGCAGAGTCGAGCTTAACAGGGTAAAGATCGCCGGCGTTGGCGGTTGACGTAGAAGACGACGTGAAAGGTCCATCGGTGGCCGTCGTGTTCGTTATCTCCTCCTCACCTATCGTGGCGTAATGCCTTTTCATCGCTCTCACGCTCTCTTCGTCCTTTTCATTGTTTAAAGAAGCTTCAAGAAGCTTCTCAACATTCACCGTTGAATGGCCTTCGAGCATACTCACCACCGTCGACATCGAAGGTCGATCCCCCGGAGCTGGACTGGTGCAGAGCATCCCTATCTTAATCATCGTCATTGCTTCTTGTTTGTTGTAATCTGTTCCTAGCCTTGGATCTACTACATCAAACAGATTGTTTTGCTCCCTTAGAACGTGCACCTGTGAAAAGAAATTGAGATTTAGATCCATGATTTAGGGTTTAAGGTTTAGGTTTCAGGGTTTTAGAGGTGAAAATGATGATTTACCCAGTCAAGAAGGTAGAAGGTATCGGCTTTGGATCGTGAGCTCGTGTTGCTCTTTCCGTGAACGATTTCTAGAGCCACAACACCGAAACTGTAGACGTCGGCTTTATCTGTCAAATGGCCTCTCATGGCGTATTCTGGAGCCATGTATCCACTGCACACAGAAAAAAAGTTCGCTTTTGGTTATATGAAATCTTACAGAGCTGAAATTTCTTGTTTGTGATTGATTGATTGTTTGACTCACTATGTTCCGGCGACTCGCGTGCTGATATGTGTGTTTTCTTCTTCATCAAGCTTAGCAAGACCAAAATCTGAAATCTTTGGGTTTAGTTCCTTATCCAGTAAGACATTAGTGGCTTTGATGTCTCTGTGTACGATCTTGAGTCTTGATTCCTCGTGAAGATAAGCTAATCCTCTCGCTATTCCGACACAAATCTTCTGCCTCATTGGCCAATTTAGTGGTATCTGAGTCTCTTGAGGACCTTTAAATTGATAGGAACAAAAACATTGTTGTTGAGCAAAACAGCAATTGGATTGGATAGAATGTTTTGAGGTGTACGGTGTTTCAAAAGGAATGACTAACCGAAAAGAGCTCGCGCGAGACTGTTGTTTTCTAAGTACTCGTAAACTAGCAGGAGCTGATCACCTTCGACGCAACATCCATATAGTTTAACCAAATGTGGATGCTGCAGAGCCGAAATCATAGCAATCTCGTTCAAGAACTCCCGATTCCCTTGCTTTGATTTCGCCGATAGCTGCTTCACCGCGATAACGGTTCCATCAGTCAACACTCCCTGTATTCATACAATGAACAAACCTTCAAGTCATAAATCATTCATCTTTCCTTGTCTCATAACAATGTCATTTCACAGTATGATGGTAACCTTGTGTACAGGACCGAAACCACCTTCTCCGATCTTGTTTGCAGGATCAAAGTTATCCGTGGCTACTTTGATTTGCCTCAACGAGAACGAACTGATCTGGAAATCTAGGTTCTTGAAATCTGAGGTGAAGAAACACAATTGAGTTTAGAAAAAAACAAAGAGACAGAACTCAAAATGTGTGAAAAAGCTATGTGAGCAAGTCTTTACCTTTTTCAATCTGACTCTTGGGTCTTAAGCAGCCTCTCCACCATAATATACCGCCGATTAAAAGCACAAGAATCAAAGTTGAAGCAATTACACTACCAACCACTGCACCAACAGAGCTTCCACCACCAGTTCCAGGTTCCTTTGGTGGAACAAAATCTACAGCAAGATCATAGGAGATAAAGTCAAGAGACAAAAACACTCAAATAAAAGTGAAATCTCTCTGAGATAGTTTGAGGTTTAGCATAGTTTACTTGGATCTACTGATACAGCGGATATGAGAGAACCATATACACCCCTCACAGGAATAGCTTGAGTTCCTTTCCCAGCCCACTGCAATCTTATCTCCAGTTTCCCATTTGTAATCGTGACCGGAAATTTCTTAACCACAGCTCTTCCTGCTCCTTTTGCCTCATCAACAATATTGAAATCCTTCACCTCGAGTTTACCCTGCACATTATCACACCAGCCAAATGATTCAAATATACAATTTTTCTGACAATCAAGTAACACGTTTAGTCAAATTACCTGAACGTATATGTCAAAGAACCGTCTTCCCAAACTGGTATACGAGTTGTTTTCACTGAACATAATTTCAGCGAAATGAAGATTAACCGTATAGTTTCCTTCTCCAAGACACAATGCGTAGTAAGTGAGGGAGATGGCCGAGAGACGCGCATGTGTATAAAACCTAGAATCTAGGCTAGAATTTGTTATGTTGAGGGCAGATGAATTCTCCCATACGTTTTCTCCATTGTTAGACCGATCATCATCCAAGAAGTTTCCCGTGTTGCTAGAAACCCACCCGTTTCTACTATCATAATAACCCGGTGTATCCCATGTGTCAGCGTCATACTTAGTCTCATTGACTGTTATTTCATTACCACCACAGTTTATGTGAAGGCCATAGAAAGCTGAGAACAAATTATTAGTAACCGAAGATAGGTCAGATAGGTATCAAGCGATATGGTTTTGTAATCTGTATGTAGTTTCAAAGACATACTTTTAGGACAGGTATATTTGCTCAGACACGAAACATTTGAGCTGTAGCAAAACATAACGTAAAGTCAATATTCTAGTGAGTGTTATATAGATCCAAAGCTTTTCAGAAGTTATGAGAAGAAAGAAAGACTTACGAGTTATTTGCCACTAAAGGGCTTGTGCTTGAAAACGTATTCCTGCGAATAAAAAGAACCAAGAAACCGTAAGCTTTATAGCGAATTTGAAGGCATGAGAAGTTGAAATGTTTTTTCTTCTTCTTACACGGATTTTCGTTGGCATTCATCGATTTTAACATCTTTGGAGAAGTTATTGTAAGTAAGATCACTGCAATAAAAGATACAATAACCAAAAATGTTATTTCTCCTGTTGTCACTACAAAGAAAGTGTGTAGATATATAAATATCGATGGAAAAAACTCACATCGTGTCTCCTTTGTCTACCATCCAGTGTGGTACTTCCCCGGTTAACATGTTACTTGTAAAATATCTGCAAGGTCGCATAACAAATTTCAGCGCAATTAAACATTACTCCATAGAAAGATTTAGAGAAACAGAGGATAGAAGAGGAGAGCATTACATGTAATCTACATCTGAAAGAGCTGTATAACTCTCGGGGATTGGTCCACTCAGTTTGTTAAAGCTAAGATCCCTGCAAAATGAGTCTCACAATGTCAGCTTAAATTCCTTTTTCATCTTCGATATATTGGCTTTAATCCCGAAGAAAAACGAGATTACTAACAAATTCTTTAAGGTTCTGCGTCCAAGATACGAAGGTAAATTGCCTGTAAGGTTGCAGTTCCTAAGAATCCTGCAACAAAGAGAGAGTAGAAATGAAAGTTAGCTAACTGAATGTGGGAAGAAACCAATACCAAATTCGTTTAGTCTTAGGTTCAAAAACTCACAATGTCTTCAACGATGTCATGTTTAGTAGCGGCGGAAATGGAGATTCAGGTCCGCTCAAGTCACTGATTCTCCTACAAATTTTCAAATTTGGAAAAGTGTAAATATACATTATTGAAGATGAGTCATTCCATGAAAGGCGAAAATAATGAATCCCCACACGCAAAGTTTGTATACTTACAAGTCTGTTAATTTTCCCAGAGGACCAATGGCACTAGGAATCGGCCCAACTAAACCACTTGCTTGGATAACCCTGATAGATGAAGCAAAGCAAACATTTCAATCCTTTATAAGTAACCAATAGCGGTACTGAAAAGTGAAAGAATCTCATTCCCCTTAAAGGATTGCTTACAGTTTCTCAAGTCCTGTCCAGTTCTGGATGAAATCTGGTATACTACCAGTGAACTGATTGTCACTGATACGGCTAATAAACCAAGAGAAATTGTTTTTCTTAAAAGTTAGAAATCTCCAGCAAAACATATGTGCCAGGATCAAATAAAAGCAGAAGAATACTTACAAATCAGTCAGTGTAACAAGTTTGGAAAATGTACTTGGTATTTCCCCACTCAAATTGTTCGAGCTAACAAGGCTACACAGAGAAAACATAGTCTCAACACCAGCAAAAGACCAATAAAAAGAGGAACAGTTTGGGAGAAGTTGGACAAAAATTCTTACAGTCTTTGAATGTTGGGTAGATTCCCGAGCTCTGGAGGTAATTTCCCTGATATCTGATTGTATTCCAAGACACTAAAAACCAAATGGTCAGAAAGAATTATCTGAAAAGTTGTTGACGATAGATATGGAAGAAATGTACTCACAAACTTCGAAGGTTAGTAAGGTTTCCAAATTCTTTTGGGATTGGACCAGTTATCCGATTTCCAAGAAGTGAGCTGCATTTTCATCATAACAACAACTATACTCAAATCAATCCACACATATATAAAGTGTCTATGAACAGTCAGAGGTACCAATAAACATACATGTTGACAAGTGGCAAGGATGCCCATTCGGGAGGAATGGAACCGTTGAGAAAGTTTCTAGACAGATCACTACAGATAAAGAAGAATGTGAGTTGTGACAGTTAAGTTAGTTAATGACAGTAACTAGAAGAAGTGACAGATATTGTAATAATAAAGAATAACATTGGTGAGTGAATCTGCTGCTTACATCTCTTGCAAGAAAGGAAGGCCTGAAAAATCTGTAGGAAGAGATCCTTGAAGGTCTTGTGCCTTGAGAACTCTGTTTCAATATTACGTGGGAAAAAAACAAACAAGTTTAAATCTCCAAATTTTTATTTTCGACCCAACACGAAAGTGAAAAAAGTTGAATAGGTAAAAATTGAAATTCACGGACTCGTCAAAAACGACCCAAAAAAAGATTCACAGACGCGTCAAAAAAGGTCAATAGCGACGGCTTCAATAAATTTGTCCACATCTAAACCTGCTTTATTAAATAAAACAAGTTGAGTAAACAAATCTATTTTCAGTACCTTGGAAAATGAATGAGACGTAGATCTAATTGCATCATATATTAATTGTATATTACTATATTTGAATTACTTCAATGCTTAAAACTACTAGTAATATACTAGTGTATTAATGATAATCTGACAAAGAAAAGATAGGATGATGTAGAAAAAGAGAGAAGAACGCACATGCTGTTGACGTGGCAAATGACGGAGGAGCAGGTACAAGAAACGGCGTCTTCAAATCCCTTAGCGGCGTTAAGATTCCTCCATCCGCCGTCAGAAGTGAGGTCGCATGGATCCACACTAAAATTCCAACCACTCTTCTTCAACGCCGTCGCTACGCTTTGTAAAGCATCCACTGCCAAATTTCAAAATTGTCCGATTGAACCAACGACTAGTCAAACATGTACGGTACACACACATATATAAACTCTCTCTATATATATATACACACAAACCTTCTTCTTTTGGTAATGTTTGAGAGGATACGAAACCGGAGAAGAGGATAAGAGAAACGATGAAGTAGTAACTGAAGAGAAGTTGTCGATTTAACGACATTTTAACATTAGGGTTTGAGAAGATCTGAAATCGAATTAAGTTTCGAGGTTTTTTTTTTTATTATTGTTATGTGTGAGAGAGAAGAGAGATTTGGTGAGAGTGAAGAAGAAGCGGTGTTTAATTATGTGACGAATGGAGAAGAAGAAGAAGAAGAGAGACTCTCATGAAGACATTTCGGAATGGAGAGGAGATAAGTAAGTCAACACTATTTTATTAAAATAAAAGAGAGTATTATAATATATTTTTGGCTTTTTTTTCTATTGTTTAATATAATTAAATAAGATAAGATTTTAATTTTTTGCATGTATGAACATAATGGGCCAGGTTGAGAAAAAAGAAAAACAAAGAGGGCCAGCGAATTGTGTGTGTTGTCCATCACAATAATTCATAGATATGTTAAGGAAAGGAAAAAAACACAGTAAATAACTATAAAATATAGATGATTTGAAAATTGCATGAAATAAACTGGTGTTTTTCATCTCCAGAAATAAAAATAACTGAATTACTAAATTTTCATCCAATTATGAGATTATTGGTACAATAAAAGGATAAGTATGATTTTTTGTTTATGTTTGGTGGTTTTATTAAAAGGATAATATCTTTTACATAATGACTATAATTAATCAAAATTGATCTGGATTTAGTTGAAGCGAACGGGGGCAACAAATTTTTATACAAAAATATTGTCCAAAATCGTATGTTAAATAAAAAGATCAAAAGGAGACTCAGAAAATCTAAACACAATTATCCGTTGTGTAGTTTGCGTCAACGTCAACGGTTCCAAAACGTACGAGCAAACTTCCTTTTCCTTAGTTATATTTTGAAATCTAAATACCTTTCGATCGAAGAACGAATCTCGAAGACAAGTCAAAGCCACTCATATTAGACTCGAGACAGATGGCTTAACCACATATTCAGTTTTGATTAAAATTAACAATTATGAAAAGTCGTCAAGACATCTCAAACTTGAGTCATTTATTCAATGGGACCTTTTTTCAACTCTAAAGTATATCACTTTATAACCTAGCAAATTTCTTAATAATCATCGAGTCCACTAATTATTTCATATAATAATGTGTACAAATCTTAAAATCGTTCCATGAAAATGTAGTTTCATTGGGTCAAACATGGTCAAATTGGAATAAACAAAAAAAAGGTCTCTGATTGGGTTTGCAATAAATGTCGTGGACCAACTTTAGTATATATTTGTAACGTTTTAAGTCTTTTATATTATGGAGCTAAGATCCAACTGCAAGTGTCAGAGACCCACTAAACATATAAATAACGTAATACACATACATCATTTCTATTCGATAGGTTACAATCAGGCAATGTGAAACTGTAAATCTTTTAACGTGGTGAAAATATTTGGCGGACTTACAGACACTGACTTGAGGGTTAATTGAGTAGACTACCATATACAAAAGTTACCGAGAGAAGCAGTCTTAAGTCTTTTGAAACATATGTACATAGACACATTCTTTTTTTTTTTTCTATCTTATATTGGAAAGGTTCAGAACTCGAAAGCGTTATTAAGCTGGACAGAGAAGGAAGGCTGGCCGATACTTGCAAGAGGAGTATCAGCTCTAACAACTATTCCCGTGCGTCCGATGTTCCCATTCCATTTCGACCGTCCAAACTGCAGTTTTTCGATAGAAAAGAAGTTATGGTCACGAGAGAGAAGAGACAGTCAGGTTTGAGAGAACAAAGGCAAAGAAGTTTTGCTTACAGATACAGAGGCAAAGGCTGAAGGATGTGCATTGAGTGCGTAGCCACATATCAGATTCAAGTCATCGCTCAACGAGTGAATAACTTCTGCTTTCAACCCCGGATTGCTTCCACCAAATGTGGGACATACACTGTTCCGATTTATGAATTATGTAAGTAAAACAAATACTTTTCGGGTAAGAGGGAGGTGGGGTTAGAGAAAGCTGTTTACCTGACTTGAATTGTTGGTTTCATCAGTAGTCCGGCTCTACGCCAAGCCAAGGGTTGAGAAAGATCCAACGCAAATGATTTGTCAGGCCAATGTACCATTGGTGTGATTCGGGTTCCACATTTATTCTGTTCCACAAACAAAAATATTTAAAGAAACGTTTCATGAGAATACGCTCCACACTGATCATGACAGGTTCGTATCTCTCTCTAACCTTACAAGAGTAACTAAATCTCATGTCGCCAGGATATTGACCCTGTGCTTGAAGAAGACCGCCACAAAAAGGCACAAAAGCACTTGTCGTCAGTCCTTCGCCAGATACATATGTCAATTGCCCGTTTGGAAATTGCAAATCCATAAATGACTGCCCACAACACAAAGATGACAAGTTCAGGGATTCAGTTCCACAGAAGTGAGAACACAATAGCAGCTTTAAGAAAAAGAGCGGCTTACGCAAGCTAAAGGATTGAGAGAGAGCATTGACATCATAAGCCACCTTCGATGCTTTGACCATAAAGCTGGGCAGAGTGAATGCATACCTTTCTGCAACGAAAATTAACAGAATTACATGAGTTTTGGGATAGAATTCTATAAGGAGAAAACACTCATTGAAGTGGGAATATTTTTTTAAGCATACCTTCCTATCATATCCATACCAGAGCAAGTGTTGTTTTGATAAGTGTAACGGTAAAAGAAGCGTTGAATCGCGTAGAAAGAGAAGTGGTCCAAGCTGAAGAAGAAAGAGAGACGAATTTCCATCGCTTGCAGTAGAACTTGAATGTGAAGCTTCTACCCTCCAGAGGTCTCCTCTGGCTGCCAATGAATGTTCCATACCATTTGTCCTACTGTCATAACTTGATGACATATCAATTGTTCCCTGCATTCCCCGAGAAATATACTGTTACTAGATCAACAAGCAGACAGAGAAAAAACACAAAAAAAAAAAACAACTTTCAGCTCGCAGAAATTTTACTGGACATTCCCCAAAAAACCCACAGCACAGCGTCCAAGCTTACAGTACTTGCTTCAAAACACCATTATTTCCAAGTAGATTTATCATTCTCTATCTTGCTTCAAAAAATCAGTAGTTTCTTCTGGATTCACAGTGACATTACATTACCACTAGCCTAATGCTAGTCTTGGCGGATCAGGATCAAACCAGCATCTATATTTCCAAAACATTTACATTCTCATTCTCTATAAGCTATCTTACATTGCAATTCAATCTAGATACATCCCTGCAGTAATGCCAAACTTGAAGGCTAGTCACTTATACTACTAGAAATTCCCAGAAAGTAGACAAAATCAGGTGAAACAAAGAAGAAGAAGAACCGCAAAATCAGTTACCTTTGATCTTCCAAGTAATCCAGCAGTTCTTAGATAGGAATCTGCAACTTCCTCCTCAGACATGGTAACAGAAGCAGTATCATCTGTCTTAGAAAACCCTGAGTCCCTCAACCGTTCTGCAGCCAATCCCAAATCACCTTTTGTGATCACATAAGCTCTATGGCTCCTTGTACTCTTATCACCATCCACAGAGACAACAAGCTTGTTATTATCCTCGTGCAAGAACGGAATAGGCAAACTCCTGAAGAATTGTTGGACCATCACATTCAAACCCGCACCAAAATCAACACCAGCTTGACCTATCTTATTACCAATATCAAGAATCGCTGAGACACCGTTGATGGGTTGGTTGATACTAAACCTAGAATCCCTATTAACACTGAAATGTTGACTAGGGAACTCGAGATCGAATAGTTTCGCCTTGTAATGATGATGATTCGGCGGCCATGGAAACGAAGGTGGGTTTATATGAATCAAACCCGTAAATCCCTGAGCAAGTCGATCAGCTAAATCTTGCCCATGTCGTTGAACCTCTTCCCAAGCTTCTAAAGATCTCTCCACTGACATCTTTATCTTTCCTTGCCTATTCAAATCCTCATGCGAATCAAAAGCTCGGAAATTTATGAGTGAAATCGAGCTATGAAACCTGAGAAAAGAAAAGATTGAACTCTTACCTAGGATCGAAGCTAAAAACCTCTCAATTGGAACCTGTGCAACAAACCCAGAAGCTTGGTTTAACAAATAGCGAGACAGAGAGAGAAAAGTTACGGATTTGGGATTACACACCCTGAAGTCAAAATTAGGGTTTGACACTCAACAAAAACTCGAAAACTGGGGAGACGAGTCACAACAAAAGGAAAAGATCTGAAATTTAGTACTAGTCAAAGCGTTACGGAGATGGCCATGGAATTGAAGTTGAAAGAGAAGAGGCTTTGAATGAAGCAAACAAGGCACACAGATTAACCTTACCAGTTACCGCCACTTTGGCTGTTGATGATAATAGGCCTCTTTCTCACGCCAATTTATGATTTTTTTTTATTTTTATTTTTTTAGGTGTAGGTTCCTTAGAGCATGATCATTCTTAGATAATCGTAATTAATTATATCCACAGAAGAAGCTCTTCAAGTCTCTGAGCTAACTAGAAGGTTACGATAATGATCGATTCAGTTGGCTTTACCTTACGTACGGGTTAACTGGTTGATAAAACAAACATGTTGATATCGCCAGATTCTATAAGTTTTAAAGAATCATCAAAGATATATACTATATTATATTTCCAACCATCAAAACTTCAATAGCTAACATATCAGATTGTTGTAGCAATTCAAGTTCATCACGGTTTCTTCGAAATAGAAATTAAATTTACATAATTTTGGAGAAAATTCTATGAAGAAAAAACCATTAGAAACGTTGAGAATTTCATATATGGTGTTCCAAAAAACGAAAGAGAAAATCGAGAATCAATTTGTGTATGTGTATCATTTATTCTTGCGCAGGAATGAATGCTAACAACTTAAATGGGCCCGTTTATTAAAAGGCCTATGTATTTGTTTCTCCGTGGGCCTATTACATTTTTTGGCAAACGTGCACATTACATTATTGACAATATATAAACCCAATTTAATATCTTTCAAAATGAGAATGTTTTTTGGTTTTACATTATGTCATGGGATCATAGAATCATAGAAGTATGTTTGACAAAAAAAGAAAAATAAAAGAACTCATAGAAGTATAGAATTGCAGAAGACAGCCAAATGCAACTTAGGTAATAAACAGTAGCAAATTGTATAGATGATTTAACCATTAATCTGTATATAATCTAAAGGTGTACACTGTAAAGTGTAAATATATGTTCATCGACGACATTCGTATATAATTGTCCGTCACCTGGTAAAAGGGAGAATAAGTTACTTTTCTTATTTTATACATTAATCCTATTATGTGTTGGTGTTGCATGGCACTAATTTATCACATCAACCACATGATTCTCCTGGGAAATTTTAAGTTGGTGCTGTAATTACTCCCGCCTTGATTAAATATTCTTTTGCAATAGTAATAAAATTGTTGATAACTTAAAAGCATAATTATTGGTAGTATCTTAAAAATAAATCTTAAGAATATTTAAGTAATATATCTGTAAAAGTGATAGTTAAGATATAGTATTTTTGGGTTAAGATTTTGGTGTGATTAATGGTAAGTTCTTAACATGTGGTTCTTAGAAAAAAAAATTAATACAAAAATAAAATTTATAATTATAAAAAATTTAATAATTGTTGCAAATTAAAAAAAATTAAAACATACATGAGCTACAATTTATAACATAAATAACATAAAGCACAAATGTTTTAAACTTAATTTTTGGAATATTTTGTCCATATATGTTCGACCAAATCCTTCTTCAATTGTAGATGCATACCTCGATCACGAATTCGAGTTCTAGTGGCCATCATATCGAAGAAATTTGAAGGCATATCTGTAGAATATGTGAAATCCACCCGTGAGCTTCCTGCAGATTCTGAGAGAGAAAGGTCGAGAAGGAAATAAAAAAACGAGAGGTTTTTTTTTTGGCTTTGTTGTTTCTTCAAATTAATCAGAGCAAGACACGTGCTCATATCTAAACTCATCAACAACATCTTAAATAAGATATACATCTTAGCATTTGTTTGAACTATTCATTAAATTTAATAATTTTTTTCCCTAAGATATGTCTAAGATACCTCCTATAATCCTACTCTTATAATATTAAAAAGGATTTGACTAATGATTGTTCCTTGTTCTTTTTTAGGCCAGAATATTTCTTATTATAAACTCTCAAAATCCATTAGAGGCGAGGATAAAAGCAGATTTTGCTAAAGAATCCACCAAACTATTGGCTATATTCTTAAACCTCGCCATCATATTTTTATATATCTTTTATTAAATAATTTATATATGAAATCTAAGAAAACGCGAGTAACGCATAATAAGTATTGTGATACATATTTGGTTAGAGTTTTTGCACATATATTCACCTTATACCACTTACCAGTTACAGCCACTTTAATAGCAATACATGTAGCTATTGAGTCTTGACTCTTGATGATAGGCCTCGTTTACACACGAACACAACTAGCCAAGAAATATGATTTTATTTTTCCTACTTGAATATTAAATCAATGTCCACTCTTTGATAATTGTAATTATATCAACCAAAGAACCTCTTCCAGTCTTCTTTCATAGTTAATTAATTATGAGATTACTTATCCGTATAAACTCTCTGATCGAACGAACTAGAAGGTAACGAAGATCAGTTTGATCGGCGTATCTTGACAAGTAACCGAACTAGAATCTTGTACGTACCGAGTAACTGGTTGACAAAACGCATTGATGTCACGAGACTCGAAAGTTAAAAGAATCAGAGATAACAATTCCTTCCGACCATCAAAACTGCAAATAGTAAAAGTAAACATATCAAATTGCATGTTGTAACGATTCAAGTTCACGGCCGGTTTCTTAGAAACAAAAATCAAACTAAATAATTTTGGGTTTAAAGTTTTTATCCCATTGGTTCGCCGTGGGCCTATGACATTCTTTTGTCAACGTGCTTATTATACAACCACATTTTCCTGATACTTTACATGGCCCCCATGCATTTCTTAATATCTCTAAAAATGAGAATCTTTTGTTTTGAATTATTGGCTATGAGGTAGATCTGTTGAAGACAATGAAGATTATAGATAGTGGCAAAGTACATAGATGTTTATTCTTCATCAATATTTTAATTTATCTTTGAAGATATGTATATATTTAGCTAAAGTTGACACTGTAAATATGTTATGGACATGGGCATAAAGCCATAAACTACAAAGTTGCCGACATATAAGAGGTGAGAATAAGGTTGTAAGGGCATCAGTGGCAAAACCATGAGGATAGATGTTAATAATATATTTATTATAAAATTTATTGAAGAGAGAGGAGGAGAATTGGCAGGTGGAGAGAGAGAGAGAGGAGAGAGATAGAGAGAATAAATTTTTTTCCCTTTTTAAAAAACCTCACACCCGAATGCAACTATACACTCAAGTTTTGTTGAAAATCAACTTTTTACATTATTTCTCTATTATTTAATACTCACATCCGCCGAGTGGTTGCACCACTGAGTGTGGCCTAAATTGTAAGTTGTAACGATTTAATTAATTCGAAAAGTTAATAAGTTACTTTCATATTCTTATTTTATAATTTAATCCTATGTGCTGTCACTCATTTATCACATCGACCAGGTGGTTCTCATAGTAATTTGGATTTACTATTGTAATTACTGCCACCTTGATTAAATCCACTTTCGGTGCACAACAATAATTAATTTGTTGATAACTTATAAAATTAGGGAAGATTAGGTAACGATTAATCCTTAGTGATTTTCGCCATTAAGCTTTTTATATCTTTGAATTAAATTTAATAACATTTATTTACGTAAATCATGGTAATCAACATTCTATTAGGGCAGTAGGACAAGCATCCCCCCTCAAATCAATACACATTCCAATACCCTCGTGAGTTTTATTTTGTTTGTTACCTAAAGTTAAGTTTACATATTATAGCACAAATTAAGAGACGCAATGATTAAATAGTCGGTTAGACTACGAAAAATAAGTGTAATCGTAAATTAAATAAAATAAAAAACACTGTAATGAAAAAAAATCCTTATTATTAAATTGTAGAAGAAGAAGAAAAACAATCAAAGTACATTCATTAAACTAATATCACTCGACTGATAAACCTATTCAGTTGTTTAGGTACTTAAGGTATTTTGCTAACACTTTATCAGTGATAATCTGATAGGCCTTTTCACTCGGATGATAAGAGTCAAAGAACACATGAGTCGATGCATCCGAACATGTAAAAGGAGTAAATTTGTTGCACAATTCCACCAACTCAATTTTTCCTGTACCACAACATCCTTTATCTGCTACTTTAAATCCTACATCAATTCACAAACATATATAGTATGTTAATTAATATTAACATTGATGTACGTAAATAAATAAAAAGATATCAATTCATGCCAAAATTACCGTAATTTCTAGGATTTTTGATGATGTCGAGAAGAGTTTCATAAACATCGATAAATACTAGTTTACCGGGCAATTCTTTCTTTAGAGTATCCAAACTAGAAGATAGCTTTGAATTGAAATGAAGTGCCATGTTATTCAACTTTTCATAACATTTTCTTTTAAAACCTCCAAAAAGTGTTCTTTGCGCGGGTACACACCCAACTGGTACTCCGCTAAACACTCCAATGTTTTTAGCTCCAAGTCCAGATAATTCCTAGAACGTTAGAAGAATAGAGAAATCATTTTAGAGTACTTTGTGGTTAAATATTGCTGTTGATTTATAACAAAATTAAAAAAAAAAACACTTACTTTGATGAACTCTGAAGCCAATTCAACCAGATATTCAGCATACGAGTTACGATCATATTCGACCGATCGAACCAAATAAGTCTCAGCGAGATCATTACTGCTAGAGACCACAAGAAACACACTTTTCTCCAATATAAACTTAACTTTTTCTTCTCCAAAGTGTTGCTTAATTTTTGCTAGGTATTCTTGAAAATATTTTAGTTGGTCTGACATTGATACTACAGACTGAAAAAAATATGTACAAAAGACAAAAGAAATTTAGAAATATTATAATAATAATAATAGTTAAAATATATAACGAATGTAAATATTTGTACCAGTAATTTAGATGTTAATGGATCATAACCAGAACCTCCAGAAGCAAAGATTACACCTTTTAGAAGATCATGTGGCTTTAGATTCGAGCCTAAATATGGTGGTAGTGTCTTTGCTATCCCTAATTTTTCCGCTGCAATGTTTAAGAAATATATTATATATGTACATAAAATAAGGACTACAAGTAGACGACTAACCAATTAGAAAACTAAAATGATAAAGAGTTTGACAGTTACCAATGATGTCCGATGGAACTTTCCCGTCTGAAAATCTACCGGTAGGAATAGCACCAGGAAAATCTCGACCATAGGGAGGAAAATTGGACTTAAGAAGAGTTGGGATGTCATTATTATTTCCTGTATCCATGATTGAGTCTCCAAATACTATTAGTGCTGGTATTGTTGTTATGTTCCTATGAGCTTAATGCCAAAAATCAAAGAAACAAAATAGATTAGAACGTGACTAAAAAAAATCCTGTTTTGTTTTATGACCAAATCTTAAACAAGTTTTGATGTATGTACCACTGCTTGTGGTCACTTGTACTACAAAAACCAACAAGAGAAAACCTATAAAATGGAGATCCATGCTACTAGAATATTATATGGTTAATCGGGTGATAAAAATAATTTGACAATTTTTCTTTTTTGTTCAGAAGATTTGAGAGCAAAGACATTAGTTCCTACATATATATGCATACTGCCTGAAGAATTGATACACATAACCTAAGAAAAAATATGTTAAAAAAGGAAACAGAGATAGCAAAATTCTGGCAATATTTGAATAGAAAAAAATCAAAATTACAATTATAGAATCTAAGGAAATTAAAAGGACAAATATCAAACAAAATATATATAAAAAGAACGTGATCTTACATACATGCAAATACTGTATAAAATAATAACGTTTGTAGTACATATGTTGTATATACATACATGCATATAGCTGTTTTTTTAAGGGGGATGTGTTGAATAAAGGATTTAGAGTGTTTTGTATTAAAATGATAAATCATATGTTATTCAAACATGTATTTTAAAAACTTTCTAAAATCAAGTATTATTACATTAATAATTTTAAAATGTACAATTAAATCCATTGATATTGGAAACATTTGAGGTAGTGAAATTAAAATGATTTGAGCGATTTTAGGTGAGATTTTAGGTATTTTCTTAGTCAAAAATTCAAACATTCAAATCCCATGATTTTAGATGAGATTTGAGAGAATTTTAATAACAAATTTCCTAATTTTCATAAATTCACCAAAATCATCTCAAAACTCATTAATACTTAAATCATTCTAAAAAAGAACAAAAAAAAAAGAAGGAAACAATTTAAATGGGGAAATAAATAAAAAGTACATGCACTTAATGCTGTCACAATTGCTTCGAATATATTGTATGATTTTGTTATAAACAACAAACAAACTTCCTTTTAAAGTTATTAATGGATCAACAATAACAATACGCTCTTGCCTCTTGGATGCGGAAGGGTCTTCTGCGGAACCCCCACCTCGACCTATCATGCATATAAAACCATTATCAAGCAAAAAAGAAAGAAAAAAACCTATCTTGCATGGATTTGTGGATATCTAATAGTCAAAATTTACTCCTAATCAAGATTATTGATTATACTATATTATCTAAGTGTATCATATATATTGTATATCAGTATATGTATAAGTTTTTAGAAGATTGGTTTTTATTTCACTAGGCGTGTGAATAGTGGTAGACAGTGGCGGACCCAGAAATTGTTTTTACCCAGGTCATTAAAAAAAAAAGGGAAAAAATTAAACCTTTTATGTCAAGACAGGAACTTGAACTCAAAATAGGGAGGTCATGGACACACAAATACCAACTCAACTGCTGTTTTTTTTCTGGTTTCTTACACATAAAAAAGTTTATATCATTATTTTACCAGGTCAGTTGCCCACCCTCTCCCCTTACTGGGTCCGCCCATGGTGGTAGAGACATAATCTTTTGTGTGCCCAATAACTATAAAAGGAAGTTTGTCTGTTGTCTATAACAAAATCATACAATATATTTAACTCCTTAATTATAGATTTTCTCAAAGAAAAAAATCCTTAGTTACAGATTATTCAAACTAGGCATACCTCATTCTTAATAACTGAGAGTATCCGCATGATCATCATGTTTTAGAAGTAATGTTACGAAGTCTAAAATTGAATCAGAGTCTTCTTTAATACTGGTTAGACTAATAAATAAAGTCTTGTGAAATGTATACTTATGTATACATGCTTGACATAATTAGATCCAATTGAAATGCATATTGTTGAATAAGTGTGAAATAAAAAAACGTTGAACGTCTGTAATTAATAGTCAATAGACACCATAACATATCTGATACGTACGCTTATTTTCTCTGTAAATATATGTGGGTGTGTGACGCGGTCGGCGGTTCTAAGCTCACACGATCAAAAATCAGATGGCCCATAGACAAAAACATTAGGTTGATGATCATTGGACCAAGACATTCGAAATGTGGTCCATGCATGTTCTTGATCTTATTAATCACGAACAATAAATTCAAATTCAAAACCTGTTTTTTTCTTGTCATGATTCTGTTTTCACCAAATCACTGCATTTATTTTATTTTTTGGAACGTCCAAACGGTTCCATACCATGTTTAATTCATGAGTAACCTTGGAGATCAAGCCATCTTTCATAGTTTCATTCCTAATCGGCTACCAAAATTGGATTAATTTTCTTAGTATTTCACTAATTATAATTGTATATACATTGTTTTAAAAATACTACTATAAGGTTACTATTTTTGGAATACACTCTTTATAAACACTTGACCGCATTGGTTGCCAAACATTCATAGAATCAATTTCCAGCAATAATCAGATATTTGACCAACATAATTGATATGATGCATTGTTTCATAATATATTATGATTTGGTTAAGAAAATAAAAAGAACCGTACACGGTTTATCCTCTGATTTTATTCTTTGTAGCCATCATTCAATTAATAGATTTTTATTTGCTCTCATTCAATGATGTTTAAGGTAGATTTGTATTTTGACCACAAAAAAAAGGTAGATTTGTGTGAATTTCAGTAATCGAACTAAAACCTAAAAAGTTGGATATGAAAATGATAGTATTATACTCCTTCTGTTTCAAAATATAAGGCGTTTTAGCTAAAAGCACGCCGATTAAGAAGATTTACATTTTAAAAGTTCAGCCAATTATAAAAGAGACTGCATAATAAAAATAATCATAAAATATTAAAATAATATATAATTTGTATAGAAACTTGAAACGACTTATATTTTGAAAAAAAAAAATTCTCCAAAACGTCTAATATTTTGAAACGGAGGAAATATTTAACTCTGATTAGATATTGATTTTCTTTTATTTTTATCCAAATTAAAACCAAATCAAAATCAAACTCATATAAATAAAAAATTCATGCCGTTATAATTTCTATCGAAACTAATGGGTAAAAAAAACATTATTTCGAAGATGAATATAGAGAAAGATCATACATTAATATAAATATAGGAAAGGATTTGGATTTTGAGTTGGAAATTAATGAAATTTAACATGTCATCGTGCAAAGTCGACATAGAAAACTAAAATTGGAAGAAAGAAAAAAAAATTTGAACAGGAAGCCAAATATGATTGAAGATTTCCAAAACTATAAACTTGGATATTATAAGATTTATATCCAAGTCGAGTAAGTGATAATTACAAGAGATATTCTCAGCAATAATAATCACACGGAGTGTCCAATCCTGTCGAGAGAACCATGTCGATTGACCTCTAGTTAGTTGCGTATCTGGCTTGTGTGCCGTTTTCATTTCTCACGAGTCGCTTTCCTGTCGTTTCTTTATAACCAACCTTGTATTTATTCGCCAGGTCGACCATCTGTAACCAACCACGTGTACCTTTCTTATCAGTCCAACTGGCGTTTTGCCAATTTCTTTCCACCGCTAATATGCAGCCACGTAAGCCAGTCTGGCATTACAGTAAATTTATTTTCCGTATGATTGTTTTATTTAGGTAAATGGATCCTTCGAATGTTTTCGAAGAAGTTGAAGGGGAAAAAAAACAAAAGAAGGCTTATTTGCTGTTATACAACCAAAAACATTTTAGCAAAATTGGTATAAAAAACTGAGATGATAAAAAAACATAGCGAAATTGGTTTTAAAACCGGGATGGTATCATTTGTGTGTGATTTATAAAAGTAGCATATATATATATGGCAAATGTTGGAAATACAACTTCCAACTTATAAATTCTAATCCAGTCTTATTTATATGAACATGTAATTGTAGTGGATAACTGACATGATTTCTACATTGCTGACACTCCAATATAAAAAAATCAATTGTCTATAAAAACAAAAACAAAAAAGCAGAGTCATGCACCACTCTTAAGTCTTAGCCATGAAGCAATATTTTAGATAAATTTACAAATAAAACCGTAAAATGTAGCTATCTAACGTATATGCATATTGTCGAAATAAAGCTAGAAACAACACGATTTGAGTTTTTAGATGCGTTATTGAGCTTCCAAACTCCAAACTCTTTGTACATTCTGACTTATTAGACCTAAACCATCGAGAGCACGACACGACAGTTTTCGTTTTTCGTACTAGGATTATAAAAAAGAGTTAGTGCCTTAGCTAGTGGTGGTGATAAATAAATACTAGTATTTTATTGGAATTGGAAAAAAAATCATATTTGAATGATGATGATTTGTAATGATTCCAACCAAATGAAAATGGTTCAATCAGTCAGCTAAATAATGTTTCAGTGCTATCTGACATGAATTCGAATATAATAATATAGGTCAAATTGGTAAAACTTACTAAAATAAGTAGATGTAATCGAATGAATGAAATAAATATATAGTAATGAGAAGATCTTGTTAATTAAGTGCCTTTTTTTGCTTCAATTAGACACAACACAAAGGATTACAAGAACATTTAAAACTAGTCTACTTTAAAAAAAGACATCTAGTACCTCTACATAAAAAATATTATTTTGATTTAATCAGTAAATAAAACAACTGACATGAAATTGCATGTATCTTTTTCTACGTAGTACTACTTGTTACACCTTTTTTCATAACAATCTATCTTGGTTTTACCCCAAAAAATATACAACCCAAAATTTAGAATTGCATAGTCGAAAACCTTTGTTATCATTATTTGAAAAAATTCCATTATCAATATATAGCATTCCTTTTCATCCGTACACTATTGTTACTTTTTAAAGGGACATAGTAGAAAGAAGAAAAAAACACTATCATATTATTGTTTTTGTTGCTTTTAGCAATTAGCACAAAGTTCAGCTCACCAAATCACATCACATCATATATATATATATACCACATTGATCATCAAGTTAGTTGCATTATCAAAATCTTTCCTCAAACTATTAAATTTTCACACGTTGATATATGAGAACAAATTTTCTTCCACTTTCTCATTATCATCAAATACCACCTGCTATTTTGTTTTTTGTATTGATAACATTTATTATCACTTACTTGGTAACCTCTCACGGACACCCTCATCTTCTTCTTTGATCGTACACTGTCACTCGTCTCTTCTGAAAAAAACCTCTCTCCATTTTTTCCGGAAATAATTGCTCCTTTGAGGTAAGAAAATCTAGTCTTTTGCCTTTGTGAGATCTCTAACGAATCATGGCGGCCGTTGATTCAACTGATCGGCGGGACTTCATAGTGAACATCAACGGTCAAGAGAGTGGAGCCGTCGGTGCTACAGGGTCAAGCAGCAATGCTGAGGGAGGTAATATTTGGAAAGAACCAAGCTATGATTTTTGGGATGGTGAAAAGGGTAAGAATGATAAGAAAGGAGCCGACGACGACGATGAAGACGGTGGCAGTTTCCATTTCACGCAGCAGAGGGAGCGGAGGCATAGTTCAGCTGAGTTATTAGATCCGCCGACGAAGCTAATTCGTC